CTAGCGATCTTATGGGGTATTACAAAAACTGTCTATGTCCCTTCCCCCCTACCAATCCGACCAGGGTACCTTCCTTAACTCGAGTTCAAATTTCGATCTCCACCTAATATTACCAACGCGTGTTAATTTCTAATGTAACTAAGTCAACGATGTCGTTACTCTAATTTCCCCCTTTTTACAATTTACAACCGCCAACCTCTAACTTAACCAGCCCCCCTTCTAACCTCCCCCCTTTTTAGCCCCCCTTCTTAAGCCTAAAATTACCTTAAGCGCCGGGTGCTAAACCTCTCAAGAGAAAACCGTAGACCTGTCTCCAGGCCTGCTCAAGTAAAAACGTTCCTCAAAACCGGGGGAACGTTCCTCAAATCCTATTTTACACATATCTCCTATAATGTAATGTGGATTTTAACGATACCCGTTCTGCCCAACTTGAGAACTCGAGTGTTGCCAAATCCTTCTTGGCTGCTTTCCCACTCGACTGGTCACCTGTTCCAGTCCAGTCTCCTATTGGTTCAGCTCAAGTGTCCCTGAACCACTTTCCCACTCGGCTGGTCACCTCTTCCAGTCAAGTCTCCTATTGGTTCAGCTCAAGTGTCCCTGAACCACTTTCCCACTCGGCTGGTCACCTCTTCCAGTCAAGTCTCCTATTGGTCCAGCTAAGTTCCAAGCTATCTGAAAACCCTTGACAACGCCCCACTTCGGGCACTTTATTCAGTTTACTGGTTTAAATTGCTAGGTTGATCGAAACGATCGAACTTGTAAAACAGTATGGGTATACTATTTAAATAATATAAAGGTTTGATCCAACTAATCTGGTGTCAAAGTCACTGTCTTTTTTCGTTTTATGGTTTTTGTTCCTTTTTCTATTCTTTTTTGGTTTTTGTTTTGCTTTTTGTCTTTTTGCTCGTGTTTTTGTCCCCCTAGTTGCCCCCCTTTACTCGGTTAGCTAAGCCTCGTTCGGAGAGCGTACCAGGAAATTTTCTCGAGTTTTCTTAAAAAGCTATCACGGTACAACCGGAAGGTTTGCACGTTCCTGTCGAACCGTACCGCCGGTACTCTAGAATGGGCATTCAGCCCGAAGCTGTCTCAAGTGGGTTCGACTCCGTAGTCTTGATGTCGTAAACACCCAGGAGCACCATAAAAACACTATGTAACATTCGTCTACTGCAGTCACACATGAGGTTTAAGAAAAATAGGCCCTATAACCACTGGCTCAAGGGTCAGGGACACCATCTCTTGTGTTTTTCTACCTCAAGAACGGTCGGAGCCAGTTCGGTTCGTTTGTGACATGAGACTACGACCCGTTACAGCTTAAAGGCTACTACTAAAATATCCCCCCACTCTAGAATTAGAAACGTCCCCATACTTAGGTCTCTAGATACCCAAAATACATGAACGCCGTTAAAAACCGGGTTGGAACAATCCGTTAAGTTACTTTTTATTAGACAGTGGAACTTTGATCCATTTCAGATGGATCAACCTAAAACTCGCCTTACCTCAACATAACAATTATAAAACACACTCTAGGAATTTAAATTAAGTACTCACATTGTAGCACGCTCAAGAACCAGGAAGTAAATAAGTCGGTAAGCAACTCAAGAATTAATAAAGTAACTAAAATGAGTTTAATGTTAGTCAGTTTTAATAACAAGAACAAGTGTTTACTCTAGACTGTAAGTTCTCGTGAACCATTGGGACACTCTAGCTGTCCACCTTTCCACCGAAGGTTCACTCTGGTCCAGTTAATAATAGTACTCCAATCACAACAATCCAGTTCGTGGGAATGCTCTCGTCTCTGTTTTAGATGGGACAGCTCTACTCTTGTTCTATTATGACAGAAATTGCGAATAGCAATTTCCCACCGTTTTATTTAGCAACTTTCCCGCGATTGTTACTCGATTGTTCTGACTTCTCTTTTCTGATTTTCAGTTATCGCGAGAAAATCGTGCATGACAGGTTCCATTCGAAATTTTGAAAAATTAAATTTCACTCCAAAATCAAGTGTTTTTTGCTTCTCTCAAGGTCAAACTTCCGAATATGACCGACTGGCACAAGGCTTCTCAGCCGCTGTCGATCAGCTCCTTCTGTAGACGTCCAAGTCGTCATTCGAGAAAGGATGTATCATACATGTTTTCCCAGTGTTTATCCAGCCTCGATTTGAACAAGTTGATTTGAACGCTGGAAATTACTCTGGCAGTGAGTTTCAGCCGTTTATGGCGGCTATGGTGAAGAAGCTACATCGCAAACAAGTTCGTGACTTTATCAATTTGCAAGGATTTGCACGAAAATTTCTTTCATTTAGTGTAAACATTCCTTCAGTTGCTCTTACTTACATCGTAGTCACAGTTCAAGATTTTGTACACTTCTATCATGCGCCCACGTTTTCTTCTCTACTCCAGGGTAGGGAGCTTCAAATTCTTCAATCTTTCATAGCAAGCTAATTTGCATGAGCTTGGGATTAATATGGTTGCCCTTCGCTGAACATTTTCAATCGCTACTTAGTCTTTTTTCCAGGAATGGGTTTCACGATTGATTGGCGTATTTCAGATGCGGTCTCACCAAGGTTTTGTAGAGTCGCCATAGTTTCCTCCGTTAAGTTCAAAAATCCTTTCTTTATAATTGCAATCATACTATTAGCTAACTTGAGTAATCTTGAGTCAATTATGACTCCCATGTCTTTGTCGTTTTCTGCATTGCTCAAGGTGTTTTTGTTTATCATGTAAATAGTTTCTTTCTGTCGTCTTCGTTCTTCCTGATAATGTTAGTTTGTGGCATTTTGATAGATTAAATTTCATTAAACTTCCTTTGGACCACGTTGAAAATCGTTTCAGATCAGTCTGCAGCTCGTCTCTTTCTGCAGATCGTCGATTGTAATTGGTCTGTAAATTTTGCGGTTATTTTCTCGCTCCTGGTCGCTGTTTCCTCGCGCAAGTACTCGCCGAGCGGCCAGGAGCTGATGGAGAGGTTGCATATTTTGTAAGGGCAGCCAAATTTAGTTAGCATTTTGCCTTACAACAGTGTATCGGCGAAAGTGGGCTAGTAGCAGAAATGGGATTTCATGTACTGATCACGTCCGTTCCTCGTGGGCCAATTTGAGAGGTAGTGGAAAAGTGCAATGTGTTTACCGATGTGGATCATGGATTATTTATCCGAACATGTCATCGTGTTTTTTATCACAAATGGCTTCGATTCGCAATGGTTGGACACCGATATTTGACTTAATATGATGCTTAGCAAAGTGCAATAGTTGCATCAGACGAGCAGATAATTTATTGATTGCTAGGCGAGTTGCTAAGGTTAGAAATAAAGATTTTGCAATGACTAGATTTGAGGAGTAACAGATTGACGATCAGATGCCGAAGACCTCTCAATTAGTTGGCAATAAGTTTGTAAAAACACAGCCTGTTATGCGACTTTTAGACAAAGTTTATTTTCACTATTTCAGTTGAAGTTATGGGGGTATTTAGCAAACTTAGCAATGCGCAAATTATTCTTGCGGGAATGCTTGGAGTAAGTGCTACTCATTCTTGTGTGGTGTTCTGGAGGGAAACGAAAGTTGTAGCAGATGTTGAAAGAATAATGGCTGGCAGGTAAAATATGTTTAGTTTCTATTTGAAAATCAGAATTTATAATTGGTCAATATCTGAATTTAAACTTGAAGTTTATATTCAAAGCTTATTATTCCGACCATTGAAAATGGGGATGAAATTTGTATTCGGCTGCTTTTTAGTTTTTTCTTTTTTTATTTTCCACATAAAATCAGGTATCACAAATAATCATCGGACTGGGTTGAGTGATGTATCATATTAAAGTTTTTCTTATTACAGTGATGTATCATATTACAGTCGTAATTCGAACCAGATTTAAAAATTTCAAAAACTTTTCTCCGTGTCGAGAAAAACCGGTTCGAAGTTTTTGATTTTTCGTCTTATTTCGAGCGAATAAAGCGAGCGAGCTGTCTTATTTAAACTGCTTAAAAGCTCACAATAACTTAATTTAAAACGTAAAAACTTAGTTTTACTTGAGTAACGTTAGTTTAATTTGAGTATTTTAGCGCCTTTTTGGAATCAAAATTAGCAAAATTCAAAAAATTGCAAAACTTGAAAAAAGTACTTCAAAAACTTTTTGAAGTAACTTTTCTAATAAAAAATGTTTTTCAAATTGCTTATGTTACTATGTCTGTCGAATATACCTAATATCCAATTTTTTTGTTCAGCTCCTTTTATCACACCAAGCCGAAAAAAACGACAATAATTTGAAAAACTTATGTTGTATTTTTCGTAAGACTGGTCGGAACATTCTGTGCCACTTCCACAGTAACCGGCTGTCCTTGTTTTATAGGTAATGAGTAATTATTCATTTTAATTTATGTCAAGTAAGCTGAAAATGTGTAAAAGTTTATTCCAAATAGATGTGTTGCCGTAACTTTTGTTCATTTTCTTTGTTTAGACGACTTGATACGTTAGACGAACGAAGGCAGTTGGATTATGCTACCTCTGAGCGGATTCTTTACAAACCATTCTTCGATTTGAGAAAAATTGGGCTATGCAAGAACCAACAAGTGGATGTGGTTGAAAGACCAAAAGGGGCTGTTTTTGTTCCATTGAAATGGAATGGCGAAGAAAATGAGTAAATTTACTCGGCAAGTATTTTGTATAGAATTAACAGTTTTGATAAAAAAGAAGCTTTTCCTCTAGTTTTATTTAGCTATAAAAAATAATTACATGGGTCGACTTTTGCTGTTCAACTATTCACTGCCATTTTTTTTCATAGCTGCGGGAGAAAAGTTCGTGCTTTTTTTAGTAATCTAATAGCCAAATTTCTCATTTTATGCAAGTTTTTTTTGCTTATGTAGACCCATGTCTGGATTATCTGGATTTAATTTCAACTCTACCTTTTTTGTTGTTTTGTATAACCGAGTCAAGATGGAGTATAACGTTAAAGTCAGTACTTTTTTAAATGAGAATCCGTAGTTTCATAAAGGAAAATATTTCAGATCACGATGAGTTGAATGATTAAGAGTCATTGCGATAGGATGTCATGCGTGCAGTTAATATGAAGCTGGAGAGTTGCGTTTTTTTGAATAGAAGAAGTTATTAAATAGAAATGTCTCTTCAAGTGCCAAACGAGACCGATGCTTCTTCCGGCGAGAACCCGGTGGGAGGAGATGAATTCTGCGTGATGCACCTGATGGTCATCGGGTTCCATCCTCGGTCGGGGTACAGAGTGGAGTACTGTACTCCTCCTCTGAGGCAAGTGGGTGAGAATGGGACAACGGAGGAGGTGTCTGAGAATGTGTCCAGAGACATCCAGTTGCCTGAAGAGTGGGAATGTATTCGCTATCTGGCACTTCCTGATGGGGCTCATAACCACGATAGAGGTACTATGAGTTTTATAAGCAAACCTGCCCTCTTCTTAGTCAGAACCAGATATGAATTTAAATTTAAAGGAGAAAACACTAGCCTTATAAGGTAATCTAATAAGAACTAATTTGTCTAAAATTATGTAATAATAGCTTGTGCAAAATCTGATAATGACTCAATAAATAAATTTTATCCGATAAAGTAGATGATTTAATCATCAAAAAAGCAAGCGTTTTTTAAACTTCAACTAGGGTTTTAACAAGGATCGACATTATTAGGTTTTATAATTGGCTAAGGAATCATTCATGTTCTTAAGTTTTCAATCAAGACTTTTGAAGGGTCATTATTTCGCTGCATCTCAATGCTTGAGCATGGATTATGTAAAATGTTTGGATTATGTAGAATTAGATTTTCATTGGATTATGTAGAATTAGATTTTCAGTAATTGATATTATTCAACTGTTTTAGATACTATTTACTTTTCAATGCCCAGCAGAAAAAGTTCCCAGTGCAAATCAACTGTATTTGGAGTGTCTTGTTATCGACAGATTTCAGTGAAACACAGAGTAAGATTTTTTGTAATCGGAATTGGGTTGAGTTCCGATTCTTGGAAATCAACCCAATTTGACCAAGTACGTTCATTAACCATGAGTTGGTGATTATTTTTTTAGGTTGGCGACGGTGCTCGGGGCTCGATTCAAAAGAGTGTCTGTATCCTTGCTAACATGCCTCTGTATTCCTTACTGGAGTCGAAACTACGCTTCGTAACTGAAGCGTTCTTCGACCAAATCGAACTGAATCTGCCTGAAAATCAGACCAACGCTACGTCATCGCAACAGTATCAATCGCAGTCACCAGAGAATATGTTGGAAATTTGTTTTGACCATATAAAGGTACGATTTTGATAATTTAGTCCCTAAAACCTGAAATGCCCTGAGAACTTAGTCCCTAAAACCTGATCTTCATCAAAAATTAAGGTATTAAATTCAATTAATTGTAAGTAGTGTTTGCACGTGATCACTTTACTGTTGGGGCTTTCTGGCCAATTTAATTTTTTATACCCTGTTTCCATGGATTTCTCTAACGTATTTGTATTATTATTTAGTTGATGTTGGGTCATTCCAATAGTCCAGGAATGAGGCCTAAAGAAATCGTATCCTCACCAAATAATGGCGAAGGGGAGGTTGCAAATGGAAAGAAAGATGAGAACTTGGCATCAAGCGAAGCAACGATGGCGAGCAAAGATCACCTGTTGTTCGAGCAGCTTCCTCTTCCTAATTTAATAGCCCAGCTAGGTAGGTAATTGCATTCTGATGGTGGTATGTCTCATGTGTTTGTCAGCCAATCAGAATTCAGTTACTATAAAGTGAAAAGGTGAAACCGCAAAATGAAAAGGTTACAAAAAGCGTGAATGACTTCTTGTTTCAAAAGGAAAATGGATCGAGTTTTCTGAGTTCTCAGCGGAATAAAGAAATTACTAATTGATGCAGTTTTCTGTCATTCATATGATTTTACGAAAAAAGTGACAATCATAAACAGCTTTTGAAACTCAAAGAATGCAACGTAATATATTTTTCTTCGAAGGGTGAAAAAATTTTCTATCAACTTTTTTCGGTTTCGTTGTTTTTTAACACTTTCCAACTGTCTGTTGGCTATGTATATCGTCTAAAAAACTTCAATTTTGCTTCGCTGATTTAAAGTTTGATTTACATGTCTATGTTTGTGTTGTATTTTCAAGGTTGCTCTAAATTTCTCGTGCTGTTCAAACTGATTCTGATGGAGCCGAGGATAGTGTTCTATGGGCCACGGGTGCTTCCAATAGGCCAGTTGATGCTCAGTCTCTGCTCCCTCTTCCCTATGATGCTCTTAAAAGGACTCGCCAACAGTCACTGCAGAGAACAAGTTGACGACTCCTCAAAATCGTCGCCTCAACAAGACACCAGTTCAGTTCAACTATCAGGTCAGTGCATTAATAATAGTTAGTAAGTAATTGTCATACCGCTACTGCAGTAGCAGTATTTATATACGTATGTACAGCTAACCTTTGGTGCTCAATCATTATTTTATGGTATGCTCAAGGTCATACGTAAGTGATGACACTGAGATTAAGCGAGAGATCAGAGTTCTTAACAATGATCTATCTCTCAGTACAACACCAAAACAAAAGAAACAGAAAACCTAAATTCAATATCCAAAATACAGTATTGAATTACAACTTGTTTTCAATCGATATCGCAAAGCATATCACATGGCGCAGCCAGCAGGATTCGCAGCTCAAGACAACAGAACGGATATGGGAATTCCGGTATTTTGGGCATCAGCGAATCTAGACCCTCCGTGGCAATTTAAAATTTGGTTCGAACAATTTCTCATGGCGGTTACGGTCAAAGAAAATGTGAACCCAGAGATTATTTTGGAAGAACCAAAAGACATATTAGAGGAACCACCACCACGCCCGGAAACGCCCAGGGATGGGGAGAACGAAGATGCGAGGAACGCTAGGATTCTTAGAGATAAGCTAGCAAGGGATAGAGTAGTATTGGAGAACGAAGACAGAAAGACAAGAGGCCCACGAGTCGGACACAATGTCTTCTACTACGAAGTACAAAGGAAACTGGTGTCAAGATTATTTTTATCTTTGGGTACAGAGGGAAAGAAGAGATTCCTACAAAAGAACCCGCTCGTTGAAATATCGAAAATGACGTTCAGGGAAATGACAGATTTGGCAGAAGTCTCGTTTCAAAAGGTAAAATGTGTAACATACGAAAGATACAAGTTATTTACGAGAATGCAAGAATCTGGAGAATCTCTAGAATCATTCCACGCAGCGTTAACTGCTCAAGCAGCCCGATCAGAACTGGGAGCATTGGAAAATGAAATAGTGCGAGACCTGTTCATCTCGAAAATGAAAAACATGACATTGCAGGACACGTTGACATTCGAAACTCTAGTAAAACGAAGTAATCAATTGGCCATGAAGTTACGAAATGCTATGAAGTCTGGATGTAAAGATACATTTCATCAACCGCAATCATTATCAACTCACAAATATATTTATATTGACTATCTTTTAGGCTTGCAACCAAAAGTTCTCCCCAAGTTCAATGATAAAAATAGATGCGGTTGAAGTTTAGTCACATAACTACAGCCTGCTTATAAAACTGACCTTTTCAAAACTGTAGGAAATTTTAAAAACAAAAAGTATAATGGTCATGATGGCATTAATAACAAAATGGTCAAGTTTTGTGCAAAAATAATATCTCCGTTCTTGTTCTTTTGTTTTAAACAATGCTTCAATATTGGTGTTTTTTTCTGATAACTGCCAAATTGCAAAAGTACTTTTATTATATGAAACAGAAAAACAGACAGATCCTAACAGTTTTCGGCCTAAAAGTTTACTTAGTACATTCAAAACTTCCTAACAAAAATCTGGTGTATCGCAATCGTGTACTGAAGTTCTGGAGTCCCCCCCCCACCCCCGTTAAAAATATTGTTCTTAGGACTTATCTTTCATGGCAGATGGACTCCCTACAGACCTGTCAGTGCATATATTTTTTTGAGCATGCTTTATAAATAAGTGTTCTACCCGAACAGTGTTGAAACATTAATAGGCTTTATTTTTTTTCAAAAAGTATGACCACAAAGCCAAATAATGTTTCAAATATTGTTCCAATCTTTGAAAATAGGGAGGAATTTTTGTCTTGGGTTGTGTTTTGTTGGTTTCTTTTAAAATAATCGTCTCAAAATCAGGTACCACAACTAGTCATCAAAATAGGCTGATTGAGTGATATAGCATATTAAAGCTTATAAGTCTGAGTCAAACGGCGTTAATGTTCTCAAAAATTTGACCAACTCACAAATATATTTATTATACTATCTTTTAGGCTTGCAACCAAAAGTTCTCCCCAAGTTCAATGATAAAAATAGATGCGGTTGAAGTTTAGTCACATAACTACAGCCTGCTTATAAAACTGACCTTTTCAAAACTGTAGGAAATTTTAAAAACAAAAAGTATAATGGTCATGATGGCATTAATAACAAAATGGTCAAGTTTTGTGCAAAAATAATATCTCCGTTCTTGTTCTTTTGTTTTAAACAATGCTTCAATATTGGTGTTTTTTTCTGATAACTGCCAAATTGCAAAAGTACTTTTATTATATGAAACAGAAAAACAGACAGATCCTAACAGTTTTCGGCCTAAAAGTTTACTTAGTACATTCAAAACTTCCTAACAAAAATCTGGTGTATCGCAATCGTGTACTGAAGTTCTGGAGTCCCCCCCCACCCCCGTTAAAAATATTGTTCTTAGGACTTATCTTTCATGGCAGATGGACTCCCTACAGACCTGTCAGTGCATATATTTTTTTGAGCATGCTTTATAAATAAGTGTTCTACCCGAACAGTGTTGAAACATTAATAGGCTTTATTTTTTTTCAAAAAGTATGACCACAAAGCCAAATAATGTTTCAAATATTGTTCCAATCTTTGAAAATAGGGAGGAATTTTTGTCTTGGGTTGTGTTTTGTTGGTTTCTTTTAAAATAATCGTCTCAAAATCAGGTACCACAACTAGTCATCAAAATAGGCTGATTGAGTGATATAGCATATTAAAGCTTATAAGTCTGAGTCAAACGGCGTTAATGTTCTCAAAAATTTGACCAACTCACAAATATATTTATTATACTATCTTTTAGGCTTGCAACCAAAAGTTCTCCCCAAGTTCAATGATAAAAAATAGATGCGGTTGAAAATTTAGTCACATAACTACAGCCTATTTATAAAACTGATCGTTTCAAAACTGTAGGAAATTTTAAAACCAAAAGTCTAATGGTCATGATGGCATTAGTAACAAAATGGTCAAATTTTATGCAAAAAAATAATATCTCCGTTCTTGTTCTTTTGTTTTAACCAATGCTTTAATATTGGTGTTTTTTTTGATAACTGCCAAATTGCAAAAGTACTTTTATTATATGAAACAGAAAAACAGACAGATCCTAACAGTTTTCGGCCTAAAAGTTTACTTAGTACATTCAAAACTTCCTAACAAAAATCTGGTGTATCGCAATCGTGTACTGAAGTTCTGGAGTCCCCCCCCACCCCCGTTAAAAATATTGTTCTTAGGACTTATCTTTCATGGCAGATGGACTCCCTACAGACCTGTCAGCGCATATATTTTTTTGAGCATGCTTTATAAATAAGTGTTCTACCCGAACAGTGTTGAAACATTAATAGGCTTTATTTTTTTTCAAAAAGTATGACCACAAAGCCAAATAATGTTTCAAATATTGTTCCAATCTTTGAAAATAGGGAGGAATTTTTGTCTTGGGTTGTGTTTTGTTGGTTTCTTTTAGAATAATCGTCTCAAAATCAGGTACCACAACTAGTCATCAAAATAGGCTGATTGAGTGATATAGCATATTAAAGCTTATAAGTCTGAGTCAAACGGCGTTAATGTTCTCAAAAATTTGACCAACTCACAAATATATTTATTATACTATCTTTTAGGCTTGCAACCAAAAGTTCTCCCCAAGTTCAATGATAAAAAATAGATGCGGTTGAAAATTTAGTCACATAACTACAGCCTATTTATAAAACTGATCGTTTCAAAACTGTAGGAAATTTTAAAAACAAAAAGTCTAATGGTCATGATGGCATTAGTAACAAAATGGTCAAATTTTATGCAAAAAAATAATATCTCCGTTCTTGTTCTTTTGTTTTAACCAATGCTTTAATATTGGTGTTTTTTTTGATAACTGCCAAATTGCAAAAGTACTTTTATTATATGAAACAGAAAAACAGACAGATCCTAACAGTTTTCAGCCTAAAAGTTCACTTAGTACATTCAAAACTTCCCAACAAAAACCTGGTGTATCGCAATCGTGTACTGAGTTCTGGAGTCCCCCCCCCCCCCCCAACCCCGTTTAAAATATTGTTCTTAGGACTTATCTTTCATGGCAGATGGACTCCCTACAGACCTGTCTGCGCATACATTTTTTGAGCATGCTTTATAATTAAGTGTTCTACCCGAACACTGTTGAAACATTAATAGGCTTTAATTTTTTTCAAAAAATGCATGACCACAAAGCCAAATAATGTTTCAAATATTGTTCCAATCTTTGAAAATGGGGAGGAACTTTTGTCTTCGGATCTTTTTTGTTTTCTCTTACAATAATCGTCTCTAAAACAGGTACCACAACTAGTCATCATAATAGGTTGAGTGATATATCATATTAAAGCTCATAAGACTGAGTCGAACGGACTTAATTGTTCTCGAAAATTTTTCCCAGTATCGAGAAAAATCGGTTTGAGTTTTTGAGCTTGAGACTAATATCGAACTAGTAAAGCGAGCAAGTAAGTAGGTATTGTACCAGAAAGTGTTTCATTTAAAGTGGTGAAAAAATAAGTTTGAATTCGGAAAACTAGTTTGATGCCTTCATATTGCGCTGCCTTAAAATTTTTTTTAAAAGCTAAACATATTCTGCTGATTAAAAAAGGAAAGTTTTTTGAAAATTTCCGAAGACAAAATATTTTTCATCATGCCTAATTCACGAATGTTATGACCGTTGGCATTGTTCACTCATCGCACCACGCACAAAAAAACTACACTTATTTGAAAAAAAATGTTCATTGTTTTTTTTAATGGTCGGAACACTGCTACATGCACATTAAAAGGGTATCTTTGTTACGACTACGAATCAGGTTATGAAGGCGTCTTGTGTTTGACTAGTCCTCAACTAGAGTTAGAAGCCAGTTTAAAGAATGATCAAGTCTTATTTAAAATTGAAGACATTCAAACAAGGATAGCCGGTTGCTGTGCAAGTAGGACAGTGTTTCGACCATGATTTAAAAAAAAACAAGTTTTTTTTCAAATTGCCTCGTCTTTTGGTGTGCTGAGAGAGAATCTGAAGGAAATTTGAAACAAATTTGAAAACAGTTTTTCACATACAATTTCATAAAATTTCAAAAATTCAATGAAAAACAAATGGAGATAGAGATGGAGATGGAGATGGAAGAATTCTTTTAAATCGTTCGTAAACTAGAAGAACACTCGGCGCTAAAAGAATACTCGGTTAATAATTTCATTTTAGTAAAACAAAGTAATAGCCACAGAATAAAATAAGCCTATGAGAATCCTGCTCACTCGCTCAATTTATTCGTTTGAAATGAGGCGAAAACACCGGGAAAGTTTTTGGGAAATCACGGCTAAAAGGGATTTGATATGATATATCACTCGGCTCAGTTTGATTACAATTTGTGGTTTGATTACAATTTGTACCCAAATACAAATTCCCTCACACTTTGAGTGGTCGGAAAAATGACTTTCTTAAAAGGGTGACCTTGACCGTGCAGTTTGATCAGATGAAAGACTGAAGCTTAAAACTTGAAATAATGTTGTTTTTTGTGTTTTTAATTATGTCTTTTTTGTTCTTAGAAAGTGCAAATGGGGTGTCAAATTCAGAAAGCAGTACGAACCTCAAGTTAGACGAAGAAGAGGAGACATTCGAAATAGTCCGCAAGAATGCCATAGGTTCGCAAGAGCGACCTAAAGAGAAACATGCAGCAACCTTTTTTGACCCCCTAACCCAAACGGACTCCATAGCTGCAAGCAATAAAACTAATAATGTGTTGCCCGAAGAATGTGTGCCAGATGTTCCTGAGAGCAACCCGGAAGATGAGTTCCTGCCTATGATTGTGAACTTTGCAGCCAAAGGGTTTCCTCTGAGAGTCTATGATGGAGGGAATCTTTGGATACCATACGCATCACTGCATCAATTATCAGAGCTGCAGACGTGCAAAAAGGTAGGCTTTTCTTTTTTTAAATAAAAGATGCCATTCTCTGTTAATTAATAGCTATGGGCACATAAATGAGAGGCAATAAATGAATTTTCTTGAAAGGTTCTGAAATTGCAAGTTAAATATTTAGGCGTTCTCAGTGGGTTGCACAAATGCTCTATTCATTTCCAACTATGGGGGACTTCCCTGTGACGTAGTTGTTCACGTGGACGAGAAAGAGATCTCGTTCGACTGGAAAAACCACGAGCTCAAGAAGTTGACTCATCTCTCCTCGGAGGACATCCGGTTCGGAAATGAATTAACTTTAGCTGCCCAGAGCCTCTGCAAGTCACAAGGAATTGGTGAGTTAGAAGATAGTTATATTCGGAAATCACTCATGGCAGAATGGCAGAAAGTCAAATCAACCAATCATAGTGCAGTGTTCAAAAATCCGAAGTAAGCTCTACAAAACAGGGAGAGTTTCGGGAAATCTGAAGTCCTTGATTGGCTATAAACGTTATGCCATGCGGTCCTTTTGTTGCAAGAATATCACGCGCGTCAGATAGTGTCATTTGTGTCGTCTCGGTTATTACTTCTGCGATTAGTAAGGGTGTTGCAACCGGGTACTAGATTTTTCATGTTAAGAACTTTGTTCACAAGACTTCGCTCGTGAAAATGTTACACAGCTTTCAACTTGCTTCATTCTAAATTCAAGGAGCATTCTGCGCTATTGGTTTAGTGGTAACACCCATGCGTGAGAAAACAAAGCCCCTGGAGTTCGGTTCTATTCGAGACCTGTTTTTCGCGAACTGAAAATTTTAGGCTATTTTAGACAATCGTCTGCCTGCTTATTTTTGTCGTCTTTGTTCTCTCAGAAAGGATTTTTTGATGTTTCGGCTTCTTTCTAGCATTCCGAAATCTCCTTGTTAAGTTTCTAATGGTACAGGTAATTTTGTTCAAGGATTTTTTCGGCTTTTTAGGATTTGTCTTTTCATTTGCTTTCAATCATTGTCATTCATTTTTTATTTCAAGTGTTGCGGAGCTCCGCTTCGTCTCTGTGTCAGTATTGTTTGATGCAGTTGTCCTGTAGCTCCTAGAGTGACAGTTCTGCATTTTTCCGCCGCACGAAGTAAACGCATCGTTTTAAATTATTTGAATTATATTATCGTCTTTACGAGAAAAGCGTGGCGTAAAACTTCTGTTTTTTGTTCGATCAGTTCATTCTGACATTGTATGAATTTTAGACTGGCATGGGGGCGAGCAGCATCTACGGTTGAATTTCAACCTTTACCTGTCATCATTACTGCTTTCCATTCTCAGCCAAGATCACAAACAAATATCCTGCTTTTATGGTCCTTTCTGCCGCGCTTACGAGCGCACTGAGAACTTCCAAAAGTGGAAAGAATCCTTGTCTCCGGATCAGAAGGTGGAATCCCTGGTCAGTCTGGACGCCCTGTTGCACCCTGGATCTCTCCAGGGCTCGAGGATGGACGCGGTCATGAATGTGATGTGGGATGACATGTCGATGCGATGGAATCATATGACCTCTGTGTCTCAGAAGTACAGTAAAGTGAAGGGGGCCAAATCAGCAGTTAGTCATGCAGCTAGAAGCGCTTTTGGGAACTTGTTTAGAGGTGAGGTTTAGTTGGAACTATTTATGATGGGAAGTTTCGTAACAAGTTCACTAAGAAACAGATTCGTTACTAAGGTTGAATAATCCACGATGGTAAATGTTTTGATTTTTTTAAGAGTCGATGAACGTAGTTCAGGCTCTATATAGGTCTTGATGGTTTTTTTTTTCGTTTTTTGAACGAAAATTCTTTTGTTTAGGCTCAACTTCACTTTTTTGCGGTTTGACTTTAAGTTCTTTCAGGGGCGTATTTATAGGTCTTGATGATTTTTTTTTTTTTTTTTTCAGGAAGAAGTCTTAAAATTTGTTCACACATAATTTAACTTTTTCGCGCCCTTGACTTTGATTTCTTTTCAAGTTCAGTGCATTTCCTTTGTTAAAAGAAGGCAAACTCCACTATCGAACAGCAAAAATGTAAAGGTCACGAAAAACGTGATCGACTTCTAATTTTGAAAATGGAAATTAATTATCAGATTTCCCAGCAAAAATTAAAAGCAAAAAAAATTACCTTTTAATTCAGTTTTCTCAAATTGGGCTAATTTCATCAAAATAGTGACATAGTAGCAAAAGTAATAACTTTTGCTACTAACTTCAAACAGCTTGATGGCTATCTTTTTTTTTCTCCAAAATTTAGAATTTTTCAAAAAACAAGTCAGTTTTCTTTTGTTTGATTGCGCTCATTGACTCTTTTTCCTCCTGTCTGTTGACTTATGGCAGCATCAACTTAGATTCCTTTGGTGGTCGATTACTGATGTTCATACTTTAGGATTAATTTTTAGTTTCCGGGACGACGAAAACCAATCAGACGAAATCTGGAGCCGATTCGGAGAAAAGTTGTTCGACCGTGAACACGTGACGAAGATCCATTTGATCCAACGTAATTTTGATCCAAATGACAAAATATGCTTATCATTTAGTTCTCTAAAATGTAAATTTAGCCATAGTCTCTGAATATATGGATTATCTGGCCGTGTAGATTAAAAAGTTATTGTTTATTTATGTTACGGTTTGACTCAAATCATTGTATGAACAATTAACGTCAAATCAGTAATATTTTTCTTTATTTCTAAAGATGGTAGGCAGATTATAAATCAAATTTATATTTTTTCTTGCAAATGAGGGTTTTAATGTTTTTCAGGTTAACTTGATTGAAAAGATTGATCAATTGATAACTCTTTATCCAATTCTTGCAATAATGAAGCTAATGGAAAATTTCCCGTCTCTACGAAGCTTTGACGAGTTTATCGGCAACAAAGCGACGTTCAAATTGCCGACTACGGAAAACATCAACATCAGAATGAAGAAAAACCTACTCTACTATCAAACCAACTATTTCGTCATCATGTTCTGTCTTTCTGTCCTCTATCTGTGCACGCATATCTTCGAAACAGCCTCGGGATTACTCTGTCTTATTTTATGTGTTTCCTGCTACCATATAAGCATGAGTAAAATGAGAACTACACGTGAAGAGTCGCAGCTTACGAGATTGTACGACCAGTTGTCGGAGACGATCGCGGGCGATGACGGGCAAAAGAGGAATATAGTTAACTTGGTGGCTGGGGCTGTGACCTGTTTGGTCCTGTTTTCATATGGAAAGAACATGCTGTTGTCAGTTTTCATTATTCTGCTATCTTCTCTCAGTAAGTTTGCTGATGTTATTAAGTGCCAATGACCGAATTGCGGACTGTAATTTAGGTAGTGGGGTTGCAGATTAATTTTTTCGTGTTTTGCTGATGATTTTATAATAATTACCTTTGCGATAAGCGAGGGTATTTCCATCGGGTACTAGACTGTTTTCCCGTAAATAACTTTGTTCACGGGACTCACTCGTGGACTTGTTCACCTCTTTGTCCTCGTTGCAAATCCTACTTCTCTCTGTCGCAAATTTTAAGCATTTTTTTGAGTTTGTTAGTATTTTAAATACGTCCTGTTCGAAGTTTGCTATTAGTGTTAATTGTATTTTTTCCAACTCGATTTATTAAAATTTTGTGTTTTTTGTCTTTTGTTTCGGCTCAATAAGTGTAGGCGTGTATTATATCGGCTTAGTGGCCTCATATTGCGCTGTTCGATGAGCGAAAAACTTTTCGCTGTGCATATGTGTGTTTTCAGGGAAAATGGGACTTGAAATTTTCTATTTGTTTTTAAAAATTTTTTTTTAAAAAATTCTATTGTCTGGGCATATTTTATCAAACTATCTTCATACACTTTGATAGATCTAGTTGAATGTATAATTATAGAATATCGATCATATGTTTTTTGGCTGATGGTTTTTTTATTGTCGTTGAAGCTCTCGGTAGCATCATTCGAAGTCATCTTCGGTAGTTTATCAGCGTCATGCTGTTTTGCATCCTAGCTTGTATCGCAAGTGGTGCAAAGCTCAACTTCGCCTCTCTGTAATAAGTTGTTTTCCGTATAGGTCCTTCAGTATGCGCAAATTATGTTTTTTGTAAATAATCATCTTTAAAGAACCCAGTGTGGGATATCGTTCTTACAGTAGTTATGGCTGTTTTCAGACGTCTCCGAGCGCAATTTTTTTTTTGACAACTACTGAAAAGAATAAATTGTTTCTTTAGAAATTTCACAGTTTCGATGAGAATGTAAACTCTAAAGCAACCGTAATTTTAAATTTTCAAAGGCCATCAGAAATCAATATTTCAGTTCAAATTCATGTTTTTGTTTAAGGTCATTTGACTCAAAGTTTTTTCTCTCCGTATCTGCCGTCTATTTTTTTTTGTTAATTTCAGCAGAAATTCTTTTGCCGAAAGAAAGTCAAATTGCACCATCCTAAAAAGTTTTGGATTTCGTTTTTGCAACGTTTTGTTCTTTGACTATTTTTGCGTCGTCATTACACTTGCGAAGCAAAGTGTATTAGTACAAATTTTTTTTTCAAATATTGGTGCTAATTTCTATTTTCTAACTCAATATATCTCGCAATTTTTTGAAATGCATAATTTATACATACTGCGGCTTTGTGCTTTGGGATTTATTACTTGCAAAATGGTTTTTTTTTTGTATTTGGTGCTACTTTTGCTGCATCGAATTGGCTATTTTTTAGCATATGTAGCTGAGTCATTGGTGGCTATTTTTTTTTTGGATTTTAAGCATCTGTGGCTGAGTGGTTTTTCCGTGAGATTCAAATTTGCTAGGTCGCAGATTCGAATCCCATGCGTAGCCGATATTTTGCTAATTCGAGGCTTATTTCTACTTTTTCTTAAGTCACTTGATAGAGCTGCTTCTTGGTCGTGTGCTTTTTGGCTTCGCCTCAAATTGATGTAAGCAAAGTTTCATTTTATAATAAATAGTCAAATAAAATTGAGTTGTTATTAATTGATTGCCCTTTTAAGGGCAATGAAAGTAGTGAAGACTATTGCACTGGTCTTGATGGTTTTTTTTACGCTCAATTTAGACTGTTTGCGGTTTGACTTCTCAATTCTTCTGAAGCTTAGTTCATTTTGAAGGCAAACTCCACTAGCGAACAGTAAAAGTGGCAAGATGACGAAAAGCGTGATCGCGATTTCTAGTTTGGAAAGTGGGAATTTAGTTTCCCAGTGAAACAGTTTTCTCAAACTGGGTTACTTTTATCAAAAAACCTGTCAATGATAAATTGTTTTAGAAATTCGAAGAGCTATGAGGCCATCTATTTTTTCTTCAAATTTCGAATGTTGAAGTGATTTCGAAAATCAAGTATTTTTTTTCTGTTTCCTTGCGTTCAGTTAGTTTTGTTTTTAAACTAGAGCAGAAGCTGAAATTTAAATCTTTAATATTTTAAATCATTTCCATCTCAAACAAGGTAGCACAGAAAATTCCCTCCACAATTATAAAAGACTTAGAAAAATAAACAAGCAATTTTTTTCTTTACATTTTGTCGTCGCTATTTATTCGTGGTATGATGAGAAATCTGAACGAACGCCCAGAATTAAGGTGTATTCGGTGGTAATGCTAAAAACTGGTATATTCGACTATAGTTTTTCTGCAGAAGTTTATTTTACGAAGTGGAATTGAAATACGCTAATTTTACTGAAGAAGGGGTGTTAAATGAAACAAAAAAACTATCTTCACTGGGCTTAAACTAATTTTTCACGGCTTAACTCTTATTATAGGAATTAGAGTGTTAGAGGCTTAATTTACTATAAAAGTAGTATAAGTTTCTAACTGGTTTTCAAATTTAAAAAAAAAACTAAATTAACGAATTTCTTTTAACCCATTGAGATGATTTTTATGATACTTATTTTCCCTGAAATCAAAGTTACTGCCCGTTTTCAATGGTCGCAATAACAAACGAGTGACAAAAATGTAGTTTTATTAAAACACTCATAAACCAATCAAACAGTTTGTTTCAGTTTGCTTGATTCACGCAGCCTGTCGGAAAATAGACTTCACGATTCAGTTCAGTGCAATGCGTGCCCAGATAACGAGGTCGCCCATGTACCAACTGATATCGGCTCTGGACTCCCAAGTAGAATCTTACTTTGCATCTCCCAGATAGACTTCCAAATAGTTAGAGCAGTTTAGCTGTTATAGCTAATTCTCTGGTGACAAAACACAATTTATTCCATGAAACATTTTTCCTCTTCACAAAAAAGAACATGGTATGATGTCACATGTAATATTTTGGCGTATAACTCTATATTAATGTCTCATGTCTAGTTATAATGAATAACGACACTTGGGATAATTTGTTATGCAACCGCGTCTTATTCTATCTTGTCATTTTGTGAACTTTCTACAGCAAAGCGGTTGTAGTATTGCTTTTGATTACCCAAAAAGAAACGAAGAATAAACCAAGGTTCAACATAATTGATTTTTAAGAAATCAGTTGCGACACCAAGTTAGTTTTAAGTGGGTCAAATGATCTTTATTAGTTATGTAAGTAGTATGCGAAATGTCACCCATTACAACTGATATGCATTGTTCTCTCCTATTCTATTCTTACGTAATACTTCTTTTCGGAAAACTCGTAGATTCTTCATTTGAAAAAAACTTCAGCTTAGATGTGTATAGTGATGATTGAAGCCTGTTTGTTATTTAGAAGCACTTATGAGAATTGATATCTGAAGCACTAATGATAAATAATCGATGTATATTTATAAAGTTTTTGCGAGATCAAAAACGATACAGGAAAGGGAATCTCGAACAGCACTATTTCAAATACCAATTAAAATGCGTATGAAATGTAAGTAAGTTTGAAGTGCTAGAATTTGAAAAAAAAAAATTCGATGAAAATTTTTGGTTTTTATCTCGCCTGCTATTTAAAACTGATGTCTATTTTTGAAGCATTTTTACCATTCCATGTCAATTAATAAATCTCAGTCCATGTTTTGAGTCTGTTCCAAACGCTGAATAACCAGTTTTTGACAAGACACTTTTTATATGCTAGTGAAAATTGTTTTACTACTGTTTATTTTTCAGAGCCATATGGTGCTCGTGCTTTCTATAATGGGATCCGATAATGTGGAAATGTGAATTGAATTTGAAGAGCAGCTATTTTCTTCTGAATATTTGAATACTGAACGAAAACGATCAATATAAATCCTGTTTGAAAAAAGCTACCGCGCGACTTGATCATGAACTGAATGTTTGCATTCAACTAGTTACGGAATAAACGTTTACAATTGTTTTGGATAGAGTTTGAAATCAATTATTATCCAGTTATTATTTGGAGTGGGACGACTGGCAGTTGGCGGAGTATATGATACAGATCTCTGACTGTTTGCACTTGGCACTTGTTGTATGAGCTTTTTGCGAGCGTCCAAGAAGGAACGCAGTTACGGAACTCACAGGGATATCAAGTACAGTCAATTCCAGAGGTTAGTTAAATTATTTACAATCCAACTCTACGTGTAGGCGTGCGATTTCTAATATATTTAAACTAATGGTTTTTTCGAAGCCTAAGTTTGAAATGACAGGCATTTATTATGATAACACGAATGATCTTGCGAGCGCCGTGCCACAAGGTAAAGTCTTTTTCTCCTGCCAGAGCCGCATATTTTTGTCAACATTTATGCGACAATTAGCTTGTATTTTGGTTGGTGCAGTAAAGCGAAATTTCGCTGCATGAAATCTAAAGGTTATTACCCTTTTTTCCCGTAAACAACTTAGTCCACAGGACTCATTGGACTCTTGATGTACCTTGCTTCATAATGAATTCAAACTTTGTAGCGTCTCTTGCACACTTAGCCTAGTGGTAACGAATACGCCTGGGACGGCAAAGGTTCTGCTGGAGCCTGACAAGAACCAGGTTTTTTTTCAAACGCTATATATTCCGGATCAAAAAAAAGTTCGGCCTATAATTTAGGGTTTCTGCTCAGGTATTTTCGGCTTTGTTACCGCTTGGTAATTATACATTCAAATCCAATCCACCCTCCGGCGTAGAAGTAAAATAACAGCTTAAGATGGCAAAGTCTTGGGGTTCGAATCCAGCCGGGTCCTTTTTTGTGCAAACTGGAATTTTTGTACTTTTTCGGACTATCGTGCGTCTGTTTATTTTTGTCGGCTTGGTTCCCATACCATTATAATTTCTGCTCAATGGGCGTCCACCTTAGTTTTGTTGGCTTAGTTACCTCTTTTTTTCTGAAGGCCATTTTAATGTTGGCAGTTGTGTTTCAAGACATAATTTCTTCAATGTGAACTGCTTTGGCCGAGACACGTGTAAAAATGTGTAAAATTTTATTTTCTGTCTGCTAGCGTGGAATGCCTAAATTGTGATGTATCGAAAGTGGCGCGAAGCTCTGCTTCGCCTCTGTGTATGAATAGAATTCGAACACCAAGCCCTGAAATAACTTCGTTTTTCAATATCTCTATTCGTTTTGCTGCCCAGTTTTTTGTCATTTACTAGCTTTATGATTTCACTTTGCTTTTGGATTGTTTTGTTGAGACTTAAAATTTTGGTGAACGCATTTTTATTGTTTTTTTTAGACAATTGCGGTGCAGAGTTATGTATGATACACAGATCGTTGAATTATTAAAGTACATTTCCTTAAATGGTTGTTTTAAGTAAGTGTTTTTTCTGCAGATTTTTTTTGGAGTTGGTACAATTTTTGATGACACAACATCTTGTTTCGGTCTAATATACATATTGTATGACAAGTAGTGCGAAGTTTCTCATCGCTTCTTTGTATCGATTTTTTCATAGACAAGTTGAAGCTGTAGGTTTTATTGATATCTCTGATATCAGCAAAATAACGTTTTCATGCATTTACGACGTGAGGCGACAATTCGTAACAAGTGACAATTCGTATCAGGCGACAATTCGTAACAAGCGACATTTCGTAACAGTAAAATAAAGGGGAACACTGATTCACGCGCAATATTCCTCTCGTGCTGGATGTAAGCGCAGCGGAGCAAGTATATTCTACTTGCCAATGCCTTGTTACGATTTGTCGCTTGTTACGAATTGTCGCCTGTTACGAATTGTCGACTGTTACGAATTGTCGCCCTGTCCATTTACAAGTTATACGTGTCAGTTGTTTTTTGAAGCTTCAACCTTGTCTGTTTTTCAGACTGATTTCTCAACTGATTTTCACTAGCGTAATCCAAGCCAATATTTGGAGGGTTTTATTCATATTTTAAATCGGTTCATTTATTTATTGCTAGCTGGATTTCAATCCACTGCTGCGTCCCAAAAATTACAATTTTTTGAATATTTTGATCTTTTTATTTGTTTTAAAAAATAATTACCGTTTTTGGAACATTCTAGATTTTATGCACAGAAATCGGCTTCTCTTATTTATCTGTGCCGTTCATATATCGAATTTTCAGAAATCACGGTTTCTTTTGGAACAGATTTTAGAAAATCGATTGATCTCGAATGAGAACTAGAGGACGTCTGTAAGTGTTTCGGGTTTTATGAATTCTGGTTTGTGGATCTTTTTTTTGTCAATGTTGTAATGTTTAAACCACCAAATTTAAATCCAGCACAATTGGATTCGGGATTTTAGGCATGCTGCTCGTCCAATCTGAATTAAGTCTGAACAGTGATTCGGAACTGACGGAGAATTATCATTATGTCCGCTCGGCTAAACCGTCCGACTCACAGTAAATGTGATCTGAAAATCATCACCATGTCCATATGATTGATGATTACAATCAACTGAATCTTTATCTTTTCGATAAATTGATTACATCAATTCATGAATTTTTATGTTTCTTTTCGATACGCTGTTTTTCATTTTTTGGCGCGAAATAACATCCGACAAAAGAAAGCCTTTCATTCATTCTGTCATGTATATTGCGTAATCCTAGAAAAGTTTCAGTAAGTAAATTTCAGTGGGATTTCAAAATGTATTCCAAAACTGTCCAGTATCGAATCAATTAGAATTCCCTGAAAGAGTGTATACGAAAAATTTTAACTCAACCAGTAGTGGATTTAGCCCCCCTCAAGGATTCGACCCTCGGCCGACTCAAAGAGACCCCCCTTTGTACTATTTTGAGATATCAATCTTTGACTGGCTGGTCCTAATTTTTTTCTAAAGGCGTATTTGCCGCCAATATATACTAATTTTGAAGGGGGAGCGCGCGCCGAAAAAAACGCTATTTTCGGCGTTTTTTCTAAAACTTTCAGGAAATTTGGTCTAAATAGGGTCTTTATAGTGATTTGGGAGAGCTCGAAATAATTTGTTCGACCTAAAAAAAAGTAAACTAAGTTTTCTAAAGTCTTCCCCCCCCCCAGTCAAGAAAATCCTAGATCCGCACCTTAACTCAACGAATCTCATCTTTGCTTCGTGTTACTGAACATGTAATGAATGTAACTGTTGTAATTTGAGTGTTCACCTGATTTCACTTCTTAACTTCCGCTCTTCATTAACTCTTCAGCTTAACATGGTCTGTTGTTTCAGTCTAGACGTGATTGAGACTCCTTTCTCCAACTCTACTGAAAGCCTCTTGCGTATGTTATCTTTCTTTTCATATCATGCTTCTGATTCTTTCCGCAATTCCGAGAAATCGACTCATGATTATGGAAGCCGTCATTAAGTGAAAAAGAACTGGAAATAGATTTTAATTATATAGGTCACCGTGGTGATTTTTTGTTTTCGTTGTTCACGAAAAAGTCAAAATTAATAAGGTCTCAAGTGGCATAATACCCAATTGGCATAGAGAAACTTTTTTGAACAAGCTGTGAAAAGTAAAGTGGTCAATTCAAAAGTTGACTGACATTTAATCTTGACAAAACTTAAAAAGTTGTTATCAAAAGCATAACCTTGCAGTTAATTATCAGTGTATTGTGATCAATTTTCCAGCAAACTTTTCAGTCAACATTTTTTGGAAGCAATTTTCCCCAGATCTTGTTCGAATGTTTTTGCTCCTGATAAAAAGGTGAAGTATTAGGTGATAGAAAGAGGAGTTTCCCCGGCGGAATAGAAAATCACTTATTTTATTGATCCAGTTTTCTCTTAATAGGATAAATTTGGGAAACTGTCCACCATAAGCTATTCTTGAAATTGATGTGATATTTTTTCGAAATTCAAAAGTTGAAAAATGTTCAAAAAATATTTCAATTTCGGACAATTTAAAAATTTCAAACAGTTGTACCGGTGTTGAGAAAAAGTGTTTTGAAATTTTTGATTTTCAGTCTGATTTCGAGCGAGTAATTCGATTTTGGAACGTTTGTTATATGAGAAATAGTCATTTAGGCCGAGAAAACTTTACCGAACGAAAACTAATTTCGTAGGCAAAATAATTTTTCATGCTTTTTGTGTTTTAGGGGGGATGATTCGTAAAAAGTGAGTTTCAAAACTTAATAGCTAAAAACTTTTTTGACAACAGTTTTGTTTTCGGCTTAATGGGGTTCGACCCAATTTTTATTGCTAAATTACCGCTCGGTAATTGTTTCGAAATGCTTTTTAAGGTCGTTTATGAATTTTTTCTGAGACAAAAGTGTGAAAATTAGACTGTTTTCAAGTAAATTTTCAACCGAATTTTTCCGTCTCTTTTTCTATTCACTATCTTGTAATGCAATGTTACTGCTGTTGTATTGCAAATGTCGCGAAGCTCCTCTTTGCCTCTGATTAAAATTAGTCTCTGCTTAGACGTGATGTCGTCTGGTGGAATGAGTGGGGGTGGGGGTGAGTTTGTGGGCAGCTCAGAGAGGGCGGGGCTCGTGGAGAGGAGGGACGACAACAGGTGCAAGGAGAAGTGCACAGACTGCATTGTGGGCTGCATCGACTGCAACTGCATACCATACGCACTCAAGTTAGTACACAAACACCAAACTCCTTTTATTTTCTCGATAGACTTTTTTTAATTAAAACTAGGATAGCCGTTTAATGTGCAAGTTGCACAGAATGTTTCGACCATAGTCTCTAAAAAGCTACAAAAAAAAGTTTTTTTTTTCAAATTTGTGTAGTTTTTTTCTGTATGGTGTGATAAAAGGGTCTGACATAAATTAAGAATGTAGGCATTTTTGGCAGTCATAGTAATATAGGCATATTGAACAATAGTTTTGGTCGGAAAACGACTAGAAAAAAATTTAAAAAAGAGTTGCAAATTTTTTATCAGATAATTTTTAATTTTCTGAAGTTTTAATCCCAAAAGGCACTAAAAACTCCAATAACTAATTTTTCTTGCGTAAAACTAAGTTTTAAGAGCCTAAGTTAAGCCAAATAAGCTGTTGTAAACCTGCTCGCATGCTTTATTTGATCGAAATTGAAGTCAGAACAAAAAAACTTTAAACCAGTTTGTCTCGTAACTGCGATACTTTTGAATTTTTTTTAATGTTCGAATCACGACTGGAAGTACTTCAATTTGCTGTATCACTCGAGCCATTCGATGATTATTTGTGGTACATGATTTTGCGTGGAAATTAAAGAAAAGAAAAAACTAAAACACCCGAATACAAAATTCCTCCCCATTTTTCAAATGGTCGGAACAACAAGCCTTGAATGTTTCGACTGACTTTTAAGGTTTATGGAGTAGTAGTCGCTTTAAGAAAAACTGATGAAATTTTCAAAATAAAAAAATTCAAAAGAGATTTTGTAAATTATCCCCTCACAAGCTATGTAAACTACAACGTGATATATTTCGCATATAGAAAAGTATTAAATGGACGAAATAGCGTGCCTCAATTCAATTTGACACGATTTTTAAGACGGATTAAATCTTGGCTTATGTGTTAATAGCACGAAAAATATCGCTAATTAATTGTTCCCAATTAGCAATATTTTAACCCCCATAACTTTATGGTACATGATCACAGGTGAAATATATTTTTACGCTTGCTATAAGCAAGAGTATTGCAATCCTGTGCTAGATTTTTTTCGTAAATAGTTTAGTTCACAGGACTTATCTGTACTCATTTGTAGTGGTACATTTTTCATAATTATATCAAATTTGTGTTCCGGGCCCACAGCGTGGAGGTAGCGAATTTGCCTGGGACGGTAAATGTCACGGGTTTGAATCTGGCCATGACTTGTTTTTTTTTCAAACGGGAAATATGTTGTTTGAAATAAAATTTTGGGCCCATTTTTTGTCAGCTTATCTTATATCGGTTTAGTTGCCACATCTCGGAATTGTTTCTTTCTTGCTGCGTCTCTTTTTTATGATTTGATCAGCTCGTAATTTGGTCCTTTCCCTTGTGGGTAAATTGAAAAATCTTAATAATCAATCTTGTATTTGTTATTTTTGCAAACTTGTTACTATTTGGGGTTGGGTATCTTCATCATCCGCATTCAGGCGAAAAACTCTGAGCCTCTAATTGTATTGTGATCTTCTGATTGTGCACTGGGATTGCTTTTCATACGAACTTAAACGAATGCGACATTATTTTGACTTACCGCATTTTTTTAAACTTTAAGCGTAAATGAAGCCCAAAACACAGCAATTGACATGGATCGGTCAATTTTAGTGTCCAAAATACTTTTGTGCCAAAATAGATTTTTTGCTCTATTTCAGACTGTCCTTAAAGCCTTAATGACAAAAATATTTCTGATCTTCAAGAAAAGCTAAAATGATCGTCTTCATTAAACAACCTCAGTTGATATTGTAGTCAAAAAGAGGTCGGTAAATATTTACTTATAAGTTAAGTGAAGTGTAACCGAAGTTTCTCTCGTTTTCATCTTTTAGTGCACAATTTTGTCAACTTGTATCTGGTCTTCGTTGTTTCTTCTTTTCTTTTTTATTGAATTTTCTTTATATTTCTTAGTTAATTTTCGAAGTTGTTTTCTTTTCTCGTATGAATTTAGTTTTGCTTTTGATCAAAATGGTTAAATTTGTGGAAAGTGTGCCGTTTTTGTTGCTACTGCCGTTTATTGGTTCAATAATCTTCATGTAACATGTTGCATCTACAATAAATCTTAGTTTTAAGAAATTGAAGCCAATGTGAAGTTGCAATGTGTAGCTTTTTGTCAAACTTGATGTTCTTTGGTTTTGCGTTACTGGACATGTCATTATATAGTGGCGCAGATTTACCACGCAATTCCTAAGTTCATGTTGGCATATTGACAATCTATTTCAATGTTGGCATATTTAATATTCAATTTCAATACTGGTTTATTGGCAAAGTATTGGATGGTAAATACTTGTTGGTTTACTCCAAAGCAACTTGTTCAATACCAATTGGGTTATGATAATTGGTTCAAACGCTTTTGCAAACCTACGACGAACGTGTTGATATAAAAGCGTTGAGGCCAGTAATGCTTATGGACTTTCATTTTGCCAAATTTCGTGAAGATCGTTCAATCACTGTCGTGACAAATCAATGAGCCGACCTCCTGTGAAAAGCTACGATGCATTCAGTAAGCGCTGCATATCTGGAAACTACTGAATTAATAATTTTTTTTTCTAATTGATGATAAATAGTCAATGGATTTTAGAGCCCAGATCTGATTCCTTATCAAGAGATCAACTGAATCGCGCAGTGCGAACTCAACCCTTAGCTGTTCCGTTTTACTCACAAAACTCATTTGAATCTGAAGCTCCCTTGGCATCAAATTCGCTATCGGCTCAGCGAATAAGCAACAAAGAATCGGCTTTGAGGTACAGGTCTAGTGAAAAAGACGCAGGAAGCTCAGAGGAGCATTACAAGGAAAAGGAGGACTCGGAGTCTAAATCCAAGAAGCTAAAAACAGGGTATCCTTTTTATTTCATCAAGTAGTAGCATACCTCTTAATTATTGATGGCTTTTTGAGATAATTTTGGTTTTGAGATGACATGGTATAGAAATATCATCCTGACAAGATATTAAGACAAACGATAAATCTTGTGGCCAAAATGAAGAAAGTTTTGGAATGGTAATATCTTCATGTCATCCGAATGTTGTAACAGAATTTAACCAAAAAGCCGTCAATAATGTTTGAGGTTCAAAATGTATGTCGGCCAAGATTGAAAGCGGATGATGGTTGTTAGGTGCTGTGGTTGTTGCTGTGGGGGAATGAGTGATGAGGAAGAGGATGAGACTGCCTTTGACGATCGGTCCTTCCTCATCAAAGCAGGCAGGAAGGGAAATCCTCGAGACTCAGATACACCATGTGTGGAGTTAGTCGACCTCCGAGACAAGTCTTCAAATTGAATGTTATCGAGTGCAATCAGAATCGATCGAAGCGTTATTCGTTTTCTCGAGATATTATCACAATCAGAATCTGGTTTTAAGTTATCTGTTTATTTTATTCAACTGTTAAATGGGATTGATTCAATGATATGTATCACTAGATATTTCGTTTGAAAAATGTACCACATTCGAGTGAATGTTTTATCCGCTTAAGGTTTGTTGGTTTTTCGAAGCATCTGAGGGGCAGATTTTTGTTTCGAAGTGTTCTTCGCTTTCCTTTTCCTCTAATCTATGCAATCTTAGGAAATAGTCTATCGAGTCGAATCACTTTATAGAAAAATTATAATCTGTTTTATAAACAGTGACTGTAGGGACGTCCCTATACGTTTGAAAACTTATTTACTTCGTCTTGTTTGTTCTGTTGAGATGAGGAATTGAGATGTGTCAATAACGATGGTATCTCGTTAAATTGTTTGAAATATCATGGGTTTTTGAAGATGGGTTTTTGAAGATTACCTGCCATAGCTTCTTACAGCATGTTTTTAGTGCAGCCTGTGATATTTTGCAGCGTTGCAAGTCAAAGTATGATTTTACCTGGTTACTTGTCATTGCTTTATTTTTTCTTCACATCCTGTTTTTTGTTTTATTTTACAAGATTTGAAATCTCTGCTAAAAAGTATACGTATAGGGCCCTGCAATCTAAATGGATTTGATATAGATACTTGTAATCACATACATAAAAAAGTATCAACTATCTAAGTAACTATGATAATATCATCGATGAAGTAGTTTCTATTTATATTTATTATCCACACTAATTCACTTGGGACAAAGGGAAAGGAGCTTACCAACAGGTTGAATGAATCATTGGGAGCAAACATTGTAGTTCTTTGTAGGCAAGAGTTCTCTAGAGAAACTCCATAAATTTTGTTTCAGTGCCTGCGGAGCCACTGTCCGAAAGATGTGTCCCCCAAAACCGAAGAAGTCTCGCACAGTGGTGCTTGGTCGGCCAGATCCCAATGCCAAATACTCGAGGAACAAACTGCGCAACCAGAAGTACTCAGTCATCACCTTCATCCCTATTGTGAGTAGATTGAGATCACCAGGTGTTGCAGACATTAAAAAACCAATCGCAAAACTATTTTTGATTTCTTTTTTTTTCTTGTTCATGCAAAACACTCTCCATCTAAAAATGGATAATCGTAACTAATTTCAGTGTAAAATTTTAAATCTCCAAACTTGAGGTGCTTAAATTTTGATCGATATGTTCTGCTTAAACGCTCGTGAAATTCGAATTGAAAAACTCAAGTTGGTTTTGTTTCTCATACCTAAATTGTTTGAAATTAGAAGACAGAAACTCTAATCTTTGCAGTGATTAATATTTGTGCATTTGTAAGAATTAGCTTATAAATATGATTTGACGTTTGTGTTTCGTTTCAGGTGCTCTACGAACAGTTCAAATTCTTCCTTAATCTCTATTTCCTCATCATCGCACTGACACAGTTTGTGCCCCAGCTCAAAGTCAACTATCTCTTCACGTACTGGGGACCACTGGTGAGTCTATTTTAGTCTGCGTTCAATGCCAAACCGAGAGTAAATAAACCAGCCGACGCAGCTACCAACCGAAAATGCGCAACGTATATAAAACAACCGAAACGAAAGATTACATCATATGAATAAAATTTGCATGATTTTCGTAAATGTTACATAATTGTAACATAATAACAACTGCGTATTTTCGGCTGGTTGATACTTCGGCTGGTTTATATATCGGCTGATTAAGAGTAATGAACGTAGTGAAGGCTCTTATATAGGTCTTGCTGATTTTTTTTTCAGGAAGTCTTGAAATATTGATGCACTTAGCTATAATGCACTTTTTGAGTTCAATTGAAATTCATCTGCTGAAAGTGACGTAAATAGCATTATCCAAACACGAATATGGAAATGGCGCAAAAAAAACGTGAACAATTTCTAGTTTCGAAAGTGAATATTTACTTTTAGAATTCCAGCGGAATAAAAACTTAACCTGTTGATCCAGTTTTCTCTAGTTGGGTTCATGTTATCAAAAAAGCGCCAGTCATAATTGGTTCTAGAATTGCAAAGAGCTTAAAGGGCATCTATTTTTTTCTTTGAATTTGAAAGTTAAGGTTTTTTCAAGAAAGTCAGTGTTTTATATGTTTACTTGCGTTCATTACTCTTTTCCAATCTTCGCATTGGTTTTTTTCTGAAGGTCGCATTGTTTTTTTTTCTGAAAAAGTCCAAGAACTGATCACGCCCAATGTTTAATTTTGTGCGTTTCTCTGGCTTCTTGAAAACAAATTACCTTTTTAAATCGCCAAAGCTAAACCTGACTGACTTTGACTTTGTGGGCTTTGGAAAGTTGTTGCGAAATCTTTTCTAGTTTAATGAAATTTTTCCAACTGTTTGTTGGCCCTGTTTCTGAAAATTTATTAAGCGCTGGTGATTGTTTTTTCTCACATTTTTCAACATTTGAATGTCATTTGAGACATCAAGTTTCGCTTACATTTCATGTTAATTAATTTTTTAGATTTCTATATTTTATATGCCACAGCTAAACCACCCAGATCAAAAGACTTGACGCGTTTTACGATAGTTTTTACCATTGGAATCATTTTTCCAAATGTTTAATATTAAGAGTAATGAACGTAGTGAAGACTCTTATATAGGTCTTGCTGATTTTTTTTTCAGGAAAAAGTCTTCAAATTTGTTCACGCTCAATTTTGATTTTTGGCTGTTTGACTTGTGATTTTTCTAAGTTCAGTGCATTTATATTGTTGTAAGGAAGGCAAACTCCACTACCGAACAGCAAAATTGTAAAGGTCACGAAAAACCTGATCGGCTTAATTTTGAAAATGTAAATTAAGTATCAGATTTCCCAGCGAAATAAAAATTTTACTTATGAATCGGTTTAACTTATTTAAACAAAAAAGTGTACATCATAAAATGTTCTACAAATTCAAAAAGCTTTGAGGCCATCTAATTTTTTATTCGTAGTTTAAAAGATTTTTGAAAAACAAGTCGGTTTTTTTTCAGTTTCCTTGCGTTCATTACTCTTTTCCAACTGTCAGTTGGCTATAATTTCGTAAGTTGTAATTACATGCTGCACTTGCAAAAGAACTAGCAAGCTAACCTTATTTTTGTAATTGAGAATCTAATAGGGCCGGATCTAAGATCTAGAATGGGGTAGAAATTTTAGAAAATGTTTCGTTGTTTTTTTAGTCGACCAAATTGATTTTGTGAGGTTTCTGCGTTGCAGGCAAGTTCACACAACAAAAAAGACTTAAAATGACATTTTGACCAGTTTTGTAAAGCTTTAACCGAATCGCTTTTGTCACGCGTGCTCATCCTTTGCAACTTGCGCTTTTAAAGTTCCCTGCATACCGAGTTTAAAATACGTTAAACAAGTGTCCGACTGTTCTGACTTAAAAATACGTTAAACAAGTGTCAGACTTTTGTTCTAATCTTTCAGGCATTTGTTCTAATGGTAACGATGGTAAGAGAGGCAATCGACGACTTCAGACGCTTTTCAAGAGACAAAGAAGTCAACTCAACTATGTACAAGAAAGTGACGAACGAAGGAGTGGTCAAAATACCCAGTTCCAAAATTCAAGTGGGGGACATCATCCAGCTAGATAAAAACCAGAGGGTTCCAGCAGATCTGGTGCTGCTCCGGACAACAGAGGCTCAAGGAACGTGTTTCATAAGAACAGATCAGTTAGACGGTGAAACAGACTGGAAATTGCGTGTGGCTGTGCCGTGCACGCAGAGACTAGAGAATGACAGCGATTTGTTCTCAATTAACGCGTTTATTTATGCGGATAAGCCTCACATGGATATTTACTCCTTCATCGGAACATTTACCATTAATGGACATCAGGGAAAGGAAGAAGTATCTTTGAGGTAAGGCAAAATTGTGTAGAATTTGACTTTCAAAACATGAAGCTATGCAGTTACAAGGCTGTGAGTAGCTTTGCGTTAATAAATGAAGTGCGTTGTCGCTTGTTCTGGTTAAGTCGTTTCAGTTTTTTTTAAAGCTGTTTGAAGGATTGAAGTTGTTGTTCCGACCATTGAAAAATGGGGAGGAACTTTGTATTCGCGTGTCTTTTTTTTCTTTTTTCTTTCTTTTTGTTTTCTTCCCAAAATCAGGTCCACAAGTAATCATCGGAAAGTTTCGAGTGATATATCATATTAAAGCCCTTTCAGTGTCGAGAACACCCTTTTGAAAGTTTTGATCTAATTTCGAGTTTATAAGGTGAGCTAGCAGGCTTAAAATAGCTTATTTATGCTTAATTTAAGCCGTGATAACTTAGTTTTACTCGATTAAAGTTAATTTTTGGAGTTTGTTTGCGCCAAGTTCTTAAAAATCATTTTGTGTTTTTTAAGACTAGTCCGAAACTTGTGGTATTTTTGTGCAACATCTCTCTCAATTGGTACATAACTGATGAAAACATATTGTTGTGTGGTAGCATGGAGAACACAATGTGGAGCAATACGGTGGTGGCGAGCGGGAGTGCCACCGGGTGTGTGGTGTACACTGGCACAGACACGAGGAGTGTGATGAACACCAGTCAGCCCCAGAGCAAAGTGGGACTCCTGGACAACGAAGTCAACTTCCTCACCAAGCTCCTCTTCATATTCCTCCTGGGGTTAACAATCGCACTCATGATACTGAAGGTACGCCAGAAACTTCGATTCATTCGCTCAAATCGAGCATGAACTAATAATGGTGATAAGTCGGGTCGGATCAAGCATTTTTGTGAAGGAGGGATGGTTTTTCAAACTAAAGTCTATATCTTTCGAATCTTTTCCTGCCTCGAGCTATTTATCTGCTGAATAGAGATGGTTGTGGACCAATATTATTCAGCACTACTTGAACGCACATCAGGTTTTGGATAGAAAAAATGAAGCAAGATTTTCTCGCAGTCAATTTAAGGAGTCGAAAGGAAAATGAGTGACCTAGTTCACGTAATATTTCTTGGTTTCTGTTTAGAGCTTCGAGGGCCAATGGTACATCTACTTATTCAGATTCATGATTCTCCTCTCATCAATCATTCCGATCAGGTTCGATATGAAGAAATCAATCCAATCATATTTCCCATTGAAGTGTTTTTTTTTTCATTTTAAATGAAAATAATATTAACGTATTGTAGTTTGCGAATGAATCTTGACATGGGTAAGCTGGTGTACTCGTGGTTCATGCAGACAGACAAGCACATACCAGAGACAGTGGTCAGGAGCACCACTATCCCAGAAGAGCTGGGACGAATCAGTTACTTGCTCAGCGATAAGGTTAGTACTTTCGAGACGTCCTCATGGAGAAATGACTTGCTTAACGCCTGAACTCTTTTATGAGTTGAGTGGTGTGACCTTAGCTAAAAGAGAAGCACAATGTTATAGAAGCTTAGTTCCATTTACAGCAGCAACAAAATTGCTGCATAAATGGACTGATCTTGTTGATATGCTTTATGATGGCATTAGTTGTTCTTTTTCAGACGGGAACCCTGACCCAGAACGAGATGGTGTTCAAGAAGTTGCACTTGGGTAACCTCTGTCTGAGTAGCGACTCTTTCTCAGAGGTAACTAAGTTATTCATAGACTCAATATGACACAGAAAATGCATGAAGACAGAAGCTTTGGACTTGTATGTATTTGCCTTGAGATATTGGATTCCACTTTGTGGCAATTCTTCATATTAAAGAAAAATAATCAAGGAAAATGTTTAAGAGATCCAAGAAGCTATCGCAGTTGCGCAGAACAATGTTTCTACCAAATGTCAAGCTAAAAATCGGAAAGTGGAAATAAATCCGCTTATATATGGAGTTTAAACCGCTTTGCGTGATCTGTTTTCGTGCTTTTATTGTCATCTTCTGAATTGGAAGTGAGATGTCAACTCTCCTATCGGTTTTAATAATCTTGAAGTATATGTTGGACTTTTCAGGTGCGGTTTGACGTTGAAGATGCTATTGCGACGGAGATCAAAGGCTCCAAAATGTCATCGGGTAACCAGAAACTGGTCGAAGCAGTGAAAGCAATCTCACTGTGTCACAATGTCACACCAGTGTACGACGACGAGCCTGCAGAAGGAGGCGGGGCTAAACTGAACGGAGCAGCTGCTATGGATGGATTGTTCGAACCTAATCTCAACGTTTCATATCAGGCTTCGAGTCCCGACGAGGTAGAAACAATTTTTCACAGCTTTTTAGCATGTTGAGTTGAAGCGAATTGGTTCTATCCGGAACCTGCGTGAAAATTGTAATGTTTTTGGAACCGTATTACATTCAGATTTATAAAGTATCCTAAAATTACAGTCATATATTTTGGTTATCGGCAGAGAAGTAATTGAACACGAATTTAGTTCATTTTGTTTATGAATTCGGGAATTTCTAGTTTTACTGTGGGACTGCATGTATCTTAAGCTGCTGAGAAGGAGAGTTGTGGAAAGCCCGTTGAACTATTTCAGATTGCCCTGGTGAAATGGACTGAGATGGTTGGTCTCCCATTAGTGCACAGAGACATAGAGAAGATGCGACTAAAGTGCAAAGATGAGGAGCTGTGCTTCAAGATTCTGGAGGTGTTCCCCTTCACATCCGAGACGAAGAGGATGGGCATCATTGTGCAGAATGAAAGGACGGGCGAGATCACTTTCTACTCCAAGGGAGCCGATACGGTAACATGCGACTATTCGAAATATGCGACAACTCGTAACACGCGAAAACTCGTTACACGCGACAACTCATAACATGCGACATTTTGTAGAATTGTCGCGTGTTACAAATTGTCGACCAACAATCTAATCATTGCTTGGTTTTTTTTAACTTCCCCTAAACCGTGCAAAGTTCTATTTTTTTGTCCCTGTAGAAAAATTGTCCCTTCTGAGTTCGCAAAGATGATAAATCGAAAATCAACTTGATTTTTCTTTGAAATGCTTTTGCGTTTGTAAGAGTCGATGAACGTAGTTCAGACTCTTTTATATGTCGTGATGATTTTTTTTGCGGTTTGACTGTTGGTTTATTTTTCATTTCAGTTCCTTTTCTTTGTTAAGAGTTTTCAAAAAGCAATATATTTTTTTTCTGATCATTGACTCTCTTTCAACTGTCTGTTGGCTATGTTTATTACTTTAAGCTCGGAACGTAAATCAGATTGAATAGAAATTCACCTCGTTAATACGTCTTCTTAACTTTGAAGTTATTAAACACAATGTGTACGGGTATCCATTTCCAGGTAATGTCATCGATGTGTGCGTACACTGACTGGCTGGACGAGGAATGTGGAAACATGGCAAGGGAAGGTCTGAGAACTCTGGTGGTAGCGAAGAAACAACTATCCAAGGATCAGTACGAGGACTTCTCCTCCAAACTGAACCAGGCCAAACTGGCCATGCAAGAGAGAAACTTGAAAGTGCGCATGGTGATTGAGTCCCTGGAGAATGAACTGGAAGTAGTGGGGTTGACAGGAGTGGAGGATAAGCTGCAACTGGACGTGAGGCCTACGCTGGAGTCCATCCGAAATGCTGGCATCAAGGTGTGTATCTAGTAGCATTTTGTCTAGTTCTTGCCAACTTGTATCAGCATGATCATGTAAATAGCATGATACTTTAGCGATCTAAAGGGAACCTGTCAGATCGTTCCATTTTTCCAACGCAAGTCGCACAGTAAAATGCAAAGTTTATGCGTTGGGCAAATCACGTGGCCTCTGAGGTTTTTGCTCCGACCTGTTTCGAAGAGGGAAAGGAACTATGGCATAGTCTGCGTTTTTTTTTCAGCCAATTTTGATTACCTCGGAAAGTTCATTGGGGATTAAGTGTTGTATCATATTAAAGCCCTGTTAAGCTGACCTCATCAATTCTATTCTACAAGTTGGTAATTATTTAAGCTATTGTTATTTTTCATTATTGCAGTTTTGCACCTGTTTCAATTTCTCTTTAACTAAAAAAGATAACATAAGTTTGAAGTTTTTTTGCGATATTTAATTTTTCGAGGATTAAGTTTTTGCTTACTTTTTCCAAAGCGATTTCACTTCTGCGATAGCTGCGATATTAAACAAGATGTTTTTAAGCAGTAGATTTACACTAGGTTTGGATGTTGACGGGTGACAAACTAGAAACTGCCTGCTGCATCGCCAAGAGCTCCCGTCTTGTGTCGCCTCGACAGAACTTGCACGTAATTGGCCAAGTCTACGACCGAATGCAAGCTCATCAGGAGCTGAACAACTTCAGGCGGAAAACGGACTGTGCTTTGGTGGTTCTGGGAGAGAGTTTGACCTTGATTCTGAAGCATTACGAGTACGAGTTCATGGACTTGGCGGTCCAGTGTCCGGCTGTGGTGATTTGCCGATGTTCGCCTACGCAGAAAGCGGACGTAGTGAGGCTGATCCAGCGACATACCAAGAAGCGATGTGCTGCTATTGGGGACGGAGGCAACGATGTCAGCATGATCCAAGCGGCAGATGCGGGAGTGGGCATTGTAGGCAAAGAAGGAAAACAGGTCTGCATTTTTTCTACTAAAGAATATTAATTGTGTTTTTTTTCCACATTATAAGCAGAAAATGAAGACTTTTAGTCAGATATAGTGAAGTTATATAGCCGATGAACGCTCATCACGCTCAAATTTACTTTTGATTTTACGCGGTTTTGACTTTTGATTTCTTTTCAAGTTCAGCGCATTTCCGTTGTTAAAAGGACGAGAAACTCCACTAGCTAATAGTAAAAATGTATAAATCACGAAAAATGTGATCGACTTCTAATTTCAAACATGGATTTGAAATGGATCTGATTGCGTTGCAGGCGTCTTTAGCCGCGGACTTCTCAATATCGCAATTCAAGCATGTGGGCCGGCTTTTTCTGGTGCACGGCAGGAACAGCTACAAGAGGAGTGCTGCTCTGGCTCAGTTCGTCATGCACAGAGGCCTCATCATATCTGTGATGCAGGCCATCTTCTCTGCATGCTTCTACTTCTCAGCTGTGTCTCTCTATAATGGAATCCTGGTCACAGGGTAGGTCACAATTTTCACTTTTGAATCTACATTTTTGATAGGGCATTCCGTTGGTAGAATGATACACACCAGTGAAAACAATTTCGATAATAAAATAAAAGTTAGCATAAGATCTACTATGAGGTTTGTCCAGCATGTGCGATTTGGCGAACATGTAATAAACATAGTCATTGACGAATTTTTCTTGGTCATGAAATAATTTTGAAAAAGTCTGAGGGTTGATTCATCGGTACAAACATCAGGAATCCGAAAGTTTAAAGACTCAGCAGTATTTTAGATCAATAAGATATAATATAATTCTTATTATGCGTTTTAAGTGAAAGAATCGAAATTAATTAGCAAATAGCGTCTCAAAATTGCCTAAAACTGGTTTTTAGTTGATGGACTCATAATTTGGAATGCACGTTTTCAGCTATGCGACAGTGTACACGATGTTTCCTGTGTTCTCTCTCGTGTACGACCAGGACGTGACGCCCGAGATTGCGATGATGTACCCTGAACTGTATAAGGAGCTGCTCAAAGGCAGATACCTCACCCTCAAGACATTCCTCATCTGGGTCCTCGTATCTATCTATCAAGGTCAGCTGTCTGGCTGTCTTCACGTAATAACAGTGGAGAATCTTTCGCAATGCTTTGTATTCAAATAAATTATGCAGTTTTGGTTAAAGATTCTATGAAAGAAAACAGTAGCGGATGAAGGTCCCCCTCATTGGGGATTTGACCCTTGGTCACCCAAAAGATCCTTCTTTGGTACTATTTAACAACATCTATCATCGGCTGACCGAATTTTTCTAAAGGCGCGTTTGTCGTTATTATAGAATAGTTTTGAGCGGAGAGCGCACAACGAAAAAATGTTATCAGAGGTACTCGTTTTATTTTAATTTTTCTTTCGAAAATATGCTCTTTAAAGTGTTCTGAGAAAGCTTGTAAAATCAATCTGGTCGACCTACTAAAACGTTTTCAAAAGTTTAACCCCTTGAAAAAATCCTACATCCGTGTCTGAACGTACAAAAAACCAAGACAACTACAACAACAGCCCGGACAATCAATTTTTCCATAGTAACTCACAGTTTTTTTGCCAACTGTGCGTAAGTTTGGATGATAAGTGTTAATTGTGGGGTTTAGGAAATTAGACGACAAGCAAATTAGACGATCAGAAAATAACGAAATTTAGACAATAACTTGCGTGAAATTTGTTTACAGACTTAGATTATCTTTTGGCTGAGTAAATATTGGTTGTCTAATTTAGACAATAACTTGCGAGTAAATTGCGTGAAGCTTGTTTACAGACTTAACTTAAGTTTTGCCTGAGTAAATACTGGTTGTCCGTAAATTCCGTTTCTTTACGGTCGTCTAATTTCTTGTCGTCTAATTTCCTAGGCCCAGTTAATTGTATATATTTGGTTTTGTTTTACAGCCGGTGTGTTGATGTTTGGCGCACTCATCCTGTTTGAGGAGCAGTTCCTACACATAGTGGCCATCTCCTTCACTGCACTCATAGGCACTGAGCTGATCATGGTCGCCCTGACCATACAGACATGGGCTGTAGTCATGGTCCTATCCCTCCTGTTCAGCATGGCCACCTATGCCGCATCTATGTTCGTTCTACCAGGTGAGAGAACAAAATTAATTAATCGCACCTTTTAAGTAATGGCTCAAATGAGAGTAACAGTGCGTTAGCAGCCTAATAGTTTTCGCTTCAGTTCTGTCAAAAACGTTTCTGTCTCTTTGTTGTCACTTGATAAAGCGTGTTAAGTCAGTTGATCAAACATGTTAAGTGTTAGGTGAAAAATAGGAACTGTTCCATTTGTTTTCAGGAACATTCAACCGTGAGTTCATCCTCTCGTGGGGATTTGTATGGAAGACCGTGGTACTTACCCTAGTCAGCTGCATGCCCATCTATATCATGAAACTCCTGCGCAGAAAATTCAGTCCCCCAACCTACTCCAAACTGACCTGATCAAATTGAATTCACGCTTGAAAACAAATTTTAAATGAACTCAAATACTTCGCCGCGAACTTCTTTTTGTCTCTTCAATTCATTTGCAACTTAAGCCTCTGTAAATAAATCCAATCAATAAATTCTGTTAGGTATAGATCCCGTCCCCCGCTCTCAGCTGAGCGTTTTCCCATCTGTTAATTGTAGCCGGTGCTTAGTTCATCCGTCAAAAATAAAGTTTATCTGTCTTATCAAAGTTCTGCTGCTTGACAATGGAATGAAGTTGAAGGGTATAGCCATTGAGTTCAATTCTAATAGGTGCTACCCCTATGATTAAACCTGGTGTTGTCTCAAGAGTATATATAAATTTTATTTAAGTGAATGTGAATTATGACATGCCAAAGGATACCATGTTAGTGTTTTCTAAATTCTCCTCTGATGTTCAATTTAAATCTGAGAATAACTCCTTTTTGAAGTCAAACTAATAGTGTTCATATGAGCTGATTTTTTTGATGTACATTGAAAAGCAATGTACTTCAGTTACGACGACCATCTACTAGCATGGAATTTTTTTCTTCCGGGCCATTCTGCTGAAATCAAATTTTAACCGGACCCAGTAACTCAATTTTTTCTCACTTTTTAATAATCAAAAAAGATGAAAATTTACAACAGTTTTTTTTGCGAATTTTATATGAGTTTGTTTGCTGGTCGACAGCGAAAAGTGATATACAAAAATCTAATTTCTGCTGTGAAATATGCGTTTTGAAATTGATATAGAAGTTAATTATTTTTTTTCCAACCCAACTCGCAAAAAAATGTTCTCATTTGGTGGTACTTTTGCTGCATATCATTGTCAAATTTAAACCATCTGTTGTATCCGCTTCAGTGGTGTTTTTTTGCTTACTAACAAGCGACCGTGGTGCAGATGCGAGGATGTGAGATGCTTTTTCTCCAGGGTTCGCCTTGAAAACTTTCATTTTAGCATAGGCAATTTAAATAGCATCTGTTGTATATGCTTCGTTTGTGGCTAGTTTTTGTAGATTGATAAGCGACCGTGGTTTAGATGAGAGAACGTTCGACACGTTATCTCCAGGCCTGGGTTTCGATTCCGGTACATTAAAATTTATTTTCTTTTATTTTGCACTTCTTATTTCACGTTTTTAAAACGTTCTTAGAGCTTTTTTTGCTATTTTAACGCTTGTTTTTGCGTCGCTTTTTTGCAGAAGGCTGCGAAGATGTTCTTTTAATTTTAAAATAGAACGTTCTCATGATTTTTGTTTAAAGCAAAATATTCAAAGTTAAGTCGATCAGTTAAAAATATAATATATTGTTCCGACCATTTGAGAAATGGGGAGGAACCTTGTATTCGGGTATTTTTTAGTTTTTTTCTTCTATTTGATTTCCACGTAAAACCAGGTAACACAAATAAGCACTGAGTGGTTTGAGTGAAATAATACATTAAAGCCATTTCAGTCGTGATTCGAACATTTAAAAATTCAAAAATGTCGAGAAAAAACGTTTTGAAGTTTTTTTTTTCGTGTAGTTGCGACCAAAAAAAGCTAACAAATTAAGTGATGATAACTTGTTAAATTTGTCGTTTAGGCAAAATAAACATGATTTCTTGAAATAAAAAACAGTTGAAAAAGCTTTATTTGGCACTTTGCTGACAAAAAAAAATTCTCTAAATTTTGTAAGAATATAGTGCTAAAAATTTCTCGATTTTTTCATTTAGTTGTGTTTTTTTATTCATGACGATTAATCTAATTTACTACTTTTTTACGCATGTGTATAGTTCTCTCATCTCATCGAACCACCACGCACATCACACCACGCTTATCACACCACGCACATCACACCACGCACGACAGTAATTTGAGGAATTTTTCTTGGTAGTTTTATTAGGGTCGGAATATTCGGTGCTACTTGCACAGCAAACGGCCAAACCTGTTTAATTATATAAATTATTAACTAAATTTTAACGCTTCAGTTAGCGCCAGCATTTTTGACACATGCAATATTAATTGTTTTATACTCGGACACAAGGCTTTCCCGTAATCAACTTTTTTTGTTCTTTTCTGTAAAACTTAGGATCATGGAAACTTTGTAAAATAGAAACGTTGTTTTAACGTGGATGAAAAGTAATTATAAAAAGTAAATCTTGTCTGGATTTTTTTTGGCTCTGGAATTCTCGACTGAACTAACTTCAACCGATCAAAACTTCGAAAGCATCGTGTTTCTGAAGGCGTATTGAAAGTCGAATTTTCAAAATTTATGTAATTACTATGTAGAATCGAAATCATCATCGAAATTTATAATTTTCGTCTAAAAACCTAAAAATTTTAATTTAAAGTGTTACGTTTTTTGACATTTTCAACTGGCGTTGTTATTTGCTCTAACAGTCTGTATGCGTCTTTTATACTGATTTTTTTTTCAAAAAGATGTTATTTGAAGTTTTTAAAATTATATGTATCTTGTTTTTTGCTTTAACAGTTGGCATATGTTTTCATTTCGTTTCATTTTATATTTTTCGTTTTATTTTTTCCAACGTGTATCAATAAATATTTAAGTGAATGTATTTGGAATTAAATTAGAAGCCTATAAAATTCAGTGAAATATTCGGACATCATTAAACAGTTTCCAAAGTTCACTGTGTCGAGAGAAACAGGCGAGAAAAAACTGAGTTACGAGACCAAACTGTGCACTGGATAGGCGCATAATTTTGTGTCTGTATGTTCGTGGATTCCAGAGATCTCTTTTAACAAGTTCCAAAAAGTATTTGGATGCCACTTGCAAAAGTTTCGTGGATTCCGCGTACAAATAGCTGTAACAAAAATTTTGTCGGCTTAATTGTTTTGTTGTGAATTCCGCAACAAGTAAATATAGCTAGTTGTTCTGGATTCCGCAAAAGGTAAGCGGAATCCACAAAATTTAAATGGAATCCGCAAACAAAATGCTGAATCCACTTAAAATTTGCAGATTCCACTTACAATTTGCGGAATCCACTTACAATTTGCCGACTCCGCCTAAAAATGCGGATTCCGCAAAAGCTCAATGCAATTATGCACATGTCTTATTATCTGTTTGTGGATTCCACAAAATGTTCTGGATTCCGTAAATACAGTTGCGGATTCCGCTAATATAGGTGCGGATTCCGCAAATTTGCCTATTTTTGGAGCGATTTTGAGCGGTACAATGGTTTAAGCAATTGTTTGTGGAATCCAAAACAGCAAAAAGATCAAAGAAAAGTAGAAATGTTGCGAATTCCGCGACAAATCTGATTTTGGCCGGTTGAGAAATCCGTTTACAATGCACAGAATGCACAGTTTGGCCTCGTAATGTGTTTGCTTTTCTGTCTAAGTACGAGCACGTGAAGTTATCTCATTTAGACAAAACTGGATCATTAGGTAATTTTTTTGTTCCGCTGAGAATTCAGAAAATTGAACTCGATCTAGTTTCGACTCGTTTTCCTTCTACAAGCATATTCGACTTTTCACACACGTGAAACGACAATTCTTAACAAGCGACAATTTGTAACAGGCATTAATTCGTAACAGGCGATAATTTGCAACAATAATTTAAGCGGTAAACACTAATTTATGCGCATCATTCCTCTCGTGTAGGATGTAAGCGCAGCGGAGCTAGCGTATTTTACTTGCCAATGCCTTTGTTACGAATTGTCGCCTGTTATGAATTTTCTCAGTACCCTTTTCCCAAGCATTATTCGACTTTCCCATGTTTTATCAAAAGTTGCTAAAACATAATTTGAAAAACTCGTTCAATTAGTTATTGATGTGCTGTTGAACTTTTTTGGGTGGAATATAAAAACTTGGTTTCGAGTTTTCGATTTCAGTTTATGGCTGCGTATGTGTCTCATTTCATGCCCCTACCTAAAACCTTGACAAGATCATTTTTTAAATTTTCCGAGGACTGTGATCTCTGAGGCTATATTAGATCATACTTACATAGGAACCTGATTTTCTTGCTTTTGTTTTCAATAGAAATTTCTGTGCTTGTTGAATGATTTAAGAAAAAGGCAAAAAACCTTCCAATTGAAATCCAATTTGTTATTTTAGTTTTTAAGGCAGTACTGATCTTTGTAAGGACCTAATTTGACATTGATGTAATTAATTTAAACACTGATAGCTGATCATCATAATTATATCTCTAATAAGAGCCACGCCAACAAGCACATGACGTCCATCTGAGCGCGCGTGCAAATGAATTTGATGGTTTTGATGTGACTGGCTAATGAATGTGGTGACACATTAGCTTTAGAAACATTGCGAAACTCGCGAACAAATAGCTTCAAGATTTTCTTAACTTTCCAAACTGTTTTCTATTATATATGTAAGTGTCAGATATTCAAGCGAACTTCACAGTGAAGTTGAATGGGTGTTTTTCTTGGAGACTATGTTGAATTTTTGTGGGTTTATCGGAGGTTCCGAGTGTCTATTGTTCTCCGGGTACCCATCTGTGGTCGGCTTTCTTCTTTCGGAACCGGATGATTGTAGCATCAATGTCGGCTGCTGCCTTTTTGTCCCTTTGATCTTCTTTAATCCGGATGTTGGACAGATGAAGAAGGGCCAAGTTTTTCTGGGTCTTCTCCAGTGAATCTTCCAGCTGATTGTTGGCCTGAACAAAAATTCTAACATATTCTCATCAATCATCAAAGGGCAATCATGCAAACGTCATTATCATTTTTTTGGATTCTGATAATCTTATTCTTATACCAACATGAGCTCAGTTTTCTACAAAAATCATCTATCTCAAAAAAAGCCAAGGCAACGCTCGTCTGTTATTTTTTCTGCTCCTTGTCCTTAGTTTTTTGAAATACCTCCATAAACAGACTGATTTGTTTTCAAATTGAAAAATTATAAATAATATATCCAATAAAAAACAAAAAACGCTCGCGGTGGTTTGTTTCTGCCAATTTTTCTGAACATTTATCTTTTTGGGTTTTATTTCAGTAGAAAGTGATCTTGGTTGATATTTCTACCATTCTTTTATAACGGTTACATAGCAGTAAGTAAACAATCGCATATTCATACTCGTCTGTAAGTAGACAAATACTAAATTAACCAATGAAATAGTCAAGAGACAAAGCAAACGTACAAAATCAATAATTTTCTAGTTCCCAAAATCAAATCTTTTACATCGTAAGCTGGAAATTATGCGATCGAATTTAATTGGGTAATTTTAGCCAATCTATTTCAACTTAGACGGTCAGGCATTCCGATCAACCTTTCCAGCGGATAAAAATATTAGCCGAATTTTCCGAAAAGATGGAACTTTGTAAAATAATCAAACCAATTTTGAGTTACTTGTGAAACCTTGCTCAGACAAGAAAAACTTGGTAAAATGGCTCGACAAAACACACACAAATTCAATTTTTTTTATCATTTTGGCTAATAATTTTATCTGCTTGAAATGGCAGAACTATTTCATTTGAAATGGCAGAAAATGTCGATGGAACTTGATTGGCTAATTAGCCAATCAAATTCAACCACATTGATTTCAGTTCAAGAGATGTAGAAATAATGATTTTGGGCCGTTTAGTGCATAAGACCCGTAGTGGCTTACTTCCGCGTTATCTACTTACAGATCGCAATCCGTTTCAACCAATGACCGCCGGACCAAGGTAACATCCCCCCAAAGCCGCTTAGGGGTGAGGATGTTGAATTGGTTCTGAGTTCGAATTTTCGACCAATCAGAATTCAGTTTCTTACATGCAAATCTTGGTAAAATTTAATTTAAATTGAACGCTGGCGTGGAGGGTCTTAGCTTGGCCTGAGTGAACTTGATCCTGATCGCCCGCTGTGACATAATTTTGACTTTCAAGCTAAAACTAATTCAAAGTGGTTCATTCAAGTTTTGCGTATGCAGTTTGTCGGCGGTTTATGACTTTTTTGGTTCTTTTTTTTTGGCAGATCGTTGTTGAATAAAAGGTGTTTCGAATTCGTTGGCTTCAAGTTATTCAAAAATGAACGTCTCTGAAAAATAGCTATCTTGGCAGCTGAAATGCAACTTTAAAAATTCGATTGCAATTTCAACCCTATTTAGCGGTAGGGTGACAATTCGTACCAGGCGACAATTCGTAACAAGCGATATTTCGTAACAATGCATTGGCAAGCAGAATACGCTTGCTCTGCTGTGCTTGCATCCGGCACGAGCGGAATAGTGCGCATAAATTAGTGTTTGCTGCTTAAATTTTTGTTTTTGAATTGTCGCTTGTTACGAATTGTCGCCTGTTACGAGTTGTCGCCTGTTACGAATTGTCGCCTGTTACGAATTGTCGCCTGTTACGAATTGTCGCATCACGCTATTTAGCTGTCTCTAGGTCAGAAATTGAAGACGTTGTCCAATAAGGTTGTTTAAATTTAAAACCATATAGAGGTTGTTGATTGGTTACAAGTTTTAACTTGTAACCAATCAACAACCTCTACCTGGTTTTACATTTGTCATGAGAAATCCCACTCTCTATCCCCGGCTCTCTGTCAAGAAAACAGCCCCCCCCCCAAAAAAAAATGTTTTTCCAGCTTTGGTCTGCTCACCCTGATAAGGTCCCTGGCATCTGGCACGTTGGTGCCTGGATGTCTGTTGTAGACTTTGACCATTGGTCTGTCCAGTCGCTCTCTGCTCTGTAGGTCCGAGTAGGCCACTGGGCCTAGATTGTAGCCCCTAGACACATCCGTCATCTCGTAGTGCCGCGTGTTCTTGTTGTACGCAGTCCTGTTCTCCGCCTCCCCCATACTCAAGTGTTGCTGAAATATTTGTTCTAATTAAATATTAAGCCAGAGTAGTTGGTCGTCATTTCGAAAAAAAATCAGCTTTCCTTTTTTTAAACTATTTTTGACGTGAAAGTGTTTAACACGAACAACTGATGATCGGGCAAGTATTGCTGAAACAAGCGTGGCAAGGATAAAGTTAATAATTTTTCAAACAAGAATAGGCGGTTGCCATTTTGGGAAAATAATTTCAGCTTTCTGATTTATTTTGCTATTTTTTGTGGTAAAAGTGTTAATCACGATTCAATGATAACCGGGATAAATAATTTGAAAATTAAAGTATTATCAGCTTTGCAGTGTATTATCCCTACATCCTAATCAAATCAGGGGCGGATTTAGGGGGGGCGGGGGTGGGTGGACGCTTTCCTCAGGGATTCGACCCCCTGCCGACCCAAAGGGTCCCCCTTTGATACTTTTTAAGAAATCGATTTTTGGCCGACCGACCCTAAAGTTTTTCTGAAGGCGCCTTTGGCGCCAATATATACTAACTTTGAGGGGGAGCGCGCGCCAAAAAAAAGCGATTTTTTTTGTCAAAATTTTTCAAAAAGTGTCCAAAAACGGCTTTTCTGACTGTTTTTTCTGCGGCGCTGAAAATTTACCCCAAAATTGGGGAAAACAGTGCTTTCGGAGAGCTCGAAAAATCAATTTGGTCGACCTAAAAAAAGGTCAAAATTTTCGAAGACAAAGATTTTGAATATAATTATGTATGTCGAAATAACCCGCAGCTTACAACATGCATGATCCTGCAAGGAAAAAAATTGTTTGCAAAATGTGATATTTTGATAAAATTATATACTCAAATATATATTATTTTATCTAAATGTATTATCAAATTGACAAATACGAGACTGAATAGTGCATGGATGCTTACCATTAGGGTGATGGTCTCTGCTAGTCGCTGTGTGAGGGCATCATTGACACAGTTGTGCAGTCGCTTGGCCTCCCTGGCCGCCTCGTCCACCGCCTCCGCGATACTCAATCTCTGCTGCCTGCTCTTCTCAATCAGGTCACGTGACTCATCAATAGCCTCCGCAGCCTACGAGACAAAAATCAAATCCAGGTTTAAAAAAAATCAATGAAGCATGGGTGTGGCTAAGTCTCCGCCTCTCAATCGGAAGGTCGGATGTTTGAGACTCCAAATGATTCGTGCTCGTTGCTTGAGGGTCAGGTAACATTACATAGCCCAGAAACAGAACCCAAAATCTTGCATGTAATTTAAACCGAGGGCTCAACAGTGGTTCTCGATAAAGAACTCGTATGTTGTTGTTTCTTTCCCTTGAGAATAAATTGTGAATTTTAGTTACCTCAGGAGTGTAGGGTCCGAGGTTGCTCAGGGGAGGGGTGCTAGGTCTCTCCCCGTCCAGGGGTCTGAAGGTCCTCGCAGTGTACACTCCAGACTTCATCATAGCGCCTCTGTCTCCCCTTTCCGAAGCCAGAAGATCATCTCCAACGTTCGCTGTCTTGGCCAGAATTTCCTAAAAATTTTTCAAAAAAACTTTCAAATTTTTTTGTAGAAGTAAAATCGATTCTCTAGTTATGAATGATGGAATTGAATGATGAGTAAAATTGGTTGATCATAATAAAAAATCTCAATCCTAATAGCCAAAAAACGTTGGCTCGTGTTTGAAAACGGCTGAAAAAAAACTAATTTTTCTTTTTGGGAAGCCAAAATTATCTGTCATTTATGGATCAACCAGCAGAAATTAGGGCTCCAAACATGAAAAAAACCAAGCAAGGGTGATTTTAAATTTGGTGAGGTATGAATGAATTGCTGGTTTGGTTGAAAGATGTCCCGAAATAGGAAACTGCTGCAAAGTTTCATGGATATTAATCGATTATATTGATATGAAATGGATCAAGTTTTTACTAATTTTTGAACCTATAAGATCCCCTTTACCCATTTAAAATTAGTTTTTTATTGCGCAAATAATTGATTGATTCTACCGAACCATATATAATTCATTTCATGGTCTAAATTAGCCAGGATATTTGATTATTTAGACACAATTTTAGGTTTAAAAAATCCATTGTGATCGATTATGAACCATCAAACTCCAACTTCAGTTCGGGAAAATGAAATTATGCAAAAATAGACAGAAGTGAATTACTTACAAATGGCTTCTGCAACACATGGAAAAGACAACAGAAAGTTATTATTTATAAACTAGTTCTAAGGCAACTAAAAACGAACAAAAAATGAATTTAAGAACATAAAGATATAAATATAATGAGAAACAATAAATGATGTTCAGCGAACCGATTGCGCGGGTAACATCACAGTTCTGGGAACTGTGATTGTTGCTGATTTTGATCTCTGTTCAGAAAAAAATGAATTAATTTGACATCGAGGTTCAAATATGATAGTTGGGTCCCTGAAAACAGCTTGTACCAGGGGCGGATTTAGGGGGGGCGGGGGGGGACGCCCTCTCCCTCAGGGATTCGACCCCCTGCCGACCCAAAGGGTCCCCCCTTTGATACTTTTTCAAGAATCCATTTTTGGCCGACCGAGCCTAAAATTTTTCTAAAGGCGCCTTTGGCGCCAATATATACTAACTTTGAGGGGGAGCGCGCGCCCAAAAAAAACGCGATTTTTTTGTCAAAATTTTTCAAAAAGTGCCCAAAAACGGCTTTTTTGACTGTTTTTTCACAAATTTGCCTGCGGCGCAGAAAATTTAGCCAAAATAGGGGGAAAACAGTGCTTTGGGAGAGCTCGAAAAATCAATTTGGTCGACCTAAAAAAAAGGTCGTCAAATTTTTGGAAAATCCGCCCCCCCCCCTCGAGAAAATCCTAGATCCGCCCGTGGCTTGTACTAAAGATGGGTCCCTCGATTTTTGAGAAATATTCAAAAACACGGTTAAACAATTACTCGCACTCTTTCGGAAAAATTTAAGCGCAAAAAAAGTTCATCATCAGGGGCCATCTAATTTTGAGGTACCCAACAATAATATCAGCAAAACCTGCAGTAGGTATCGAAAAGTATCAAGTATCAGAGAGCTGAAATAGTAAAAAAAAAAACTATTCTACAATTTTATTATCACATTCAGAATGGCAAAAGTTGGGTAGCCTAAAAATGGCTCTTTTCCAGTTCCCCCCTTTCAAATTCAATTTTGAAAATTCTATTTAACGTTGTCACAATGCAATGAAATTTGGCGTGATGAACCAATCGACAATTGTGAACAGATTTGTTCTTCATACTTTACAGCGTAACTTCACGCATTTAGCCGTAATAACACGTAAAACAAATATAAAACTCGTTATTTTGAAATGGGGGAACTGGAAAAGAGCCCTAAAAATATATTTGGTGTAGTGTTGAGCGTGAGTGTTACCGTAATTTTGCGGCTGTCCAGTTTGGGTGTCTTCATTCCGGTGGAAGATGTGGTGGTGTTAGGTCTGCTGCTATCCATGCCCAGTGCATTCTGCAACATGCCCCCTCCCCCCACAGAAGAGGGGGACATTAGTTGGCTCTTGAGCAGGTGGTCGTGTCGGATCGAGTTGCGAGAATGGCAGATCAGTTCCAGCACTTCACTTCTCTCGTCCAGCACTCTGGCTAGTCTCTTGCGCGATTGGTCCATCAACTGAAACACAATTGTGAAGTCCAATGCATTAAGCTAAGCACAAAATGGGGTCTTTTTAGCAATCCCCAAACCCTATGGCACCTAGAAGAGAATTGCCACCGCCTATAAAGAACTGATTCCACGGTTGAGCATACTTGAGTTATGTACCTGGTTACGAATCCCCTTTCCGCAATAGGGGTGGGGGATAGTTAAAAAAATATTTTTAACTATTGCCCACCCCTATTGCGGAAAGTGGATTCGTAACCAGGTACATAATTCAAGTATGCTCAAATTGGGCAAATTGGGGAAAATAATCAGATAACGCTGGTGGCCGACAGAATTAGGCATTTTGAGGGATATGTCATCAAATTATTAGTAATATGTTACATTTGGTTGCCTAAATTTGCTTTGAAAGTGATATTCATTAAGAAATTTTTAGCTTCAAAAAATTCAATTTTTGTTCAATATTGTAAAACTTAATCGCAATTTATCTTTTGATTCGTTTATCTTTTAGTTAGTTATCTGCTTTGTTAAAGCCTGAATTAACCGCCTTGAATTATATTGAAACTAAAATCATCAGAAAATTTTGAAGGTTTTAGCAAAAATTAATTATTGTACTGATGTTTTTTTGTTAATTCATGGTCGCAATGCTTCATTTGATAGCTCATATTTCTCGGTTCATAAAATTTTGCGTTTTTTGCGCTCGCAACCCTGGATTTCAAAAAAATTTCACGATTCTTGGAGTTTTTGTAAAGATTTTTACCGATCTTCAAGATTCTTGACACAATCTTACCAAGTTTTCATGGTTTTCCTTCAAGATTTGTCAAAGATCGCTATGATTGCTGGGCCTGGGGATCCACAAAATTAAGCAGCATATAAAATGGCTCTTTTCAATCATAGCCACGTCAGTCTAACAATGAAAAATATAAGCTTCACTACACTGTGATTTAAAGGGGGGGTTGCAAAAGGACTATCAAGAGGCTGTAAACACTATAACCAAAAGAGAAGCATGTTGCTAGCAAGTAATAGTAATATTTTCTTATACCAATTTTAGGACAAGTCACCTTCCATTTAGTTTGTAAGTGGTTCATTGCCTAGTTCCGTATCCAGAGCTGTGTCAAGGAAAATATTTTAGAAATTGAGTTTCGTTGAAATGAGTTTTGCTGTTCATTTCAGCTTTCTATAGTTCGTAAATGAAGACTTTACTTTTTTGATACTTTTTTGTTCTCAGGCGAACTTACAGCACGGTAATCCCACTAATCCTGCAAAACTTTTATAACCTGTTTGATTATATTTCAATCTCTCAATTTGATTTGACTACAGATTTTTTTTCACTCATAAGTGCTAAATTCTTTCAAACAAATTTTAAATTCAGGCCCCACTTCCCGTGAGAAACGGCTGAAAACTCTTTTGACGGTGTTTCATGAGCAAAGAGGTATCAAAACGAAGACAAAAAGGTATCAATTGGCGGCGTGCTCTTACTGTTCTAAAATGAAATTTTAATTAAAAAACTACTTTGACTCTTGTTTTCAACAATTTAATCAAAACTATTATTAATATAACTTTAGTCAAAGCGCTTCCCTATGATTAAAAAAAATTTCGCATAAGAAATGAGAAAATTTTGAGCATTTTTTCTCTAGTAACACCACGCATAATAAACGACACAAGACTGAAAAAATCAAAACACTTCTGAAAGAAGTTCAAAGATGTTTGATTGTAGCTATTCAAAATTATCAAACAAAAAAAGTAGGTGGTCGAATCCCTGAAGAAAGGCGTCCGTCGCACCCCCTTCCCTTAAATCCGCCTGTATGTTGTACAGGAGTTATTGCCAATGTTTGGCTTCTGTTTTGACTTACGCAGAAAGTTGACAGATGTTTTTTTCGAGTTTTTCATCTGAAAGCTTCGATTCTCAAAACTACTGTTTACGAGGAATTTTTTAAAGCAGTTGAAGCATATGGATAATTCGAGTTTTACAAAATGATGAACTTTCACAACATTTTAATTTTACATTTTTATTTACATAAGTTTGATTTTTTTCTTGCACCAAATACCATTAGTTTTTTAGAATGATACGAGGGCAGCATGTATTCTTATGCTTGTGTGTTCCAGTAAGAATAGGTGGTAAAAACTTTTATAACTTTAAAGCTCAAAATTTTTCTATGGCAACAATTTGTTTTTTGGGCTCGACAGGGATCAACCGAAATTTTGTCGCCTTAGTTGCTTCTCGGCCAATGTTTTTTCAATACTTTTTGAGACTGTTTGTGACTATCATCCAATACAAACATAAAAATTTGTAGGTATTTTTTTTCTGCTTTTTTGCAGCTATTTTTTGAACTTAATTTTTAGTTTCAAGTATTTTTTTGAACTTAATTTTTCAAAAACTACTTCCGTCATTTCCGGCTCTGCGTCACCTTTTGTAAATGATTTTTTTCCAAGTTATAATTTCAATATTTCAATTTGTTCAACTTAAATGTTCGGCGTGCATTATGAATTTTGAAATTATCATATAGATTGCATTAAGAATTATCTTTGCAGTTATCTGAAAGTCAAATTAAACTGAATATGCAAAATTAATTATCAATTTCAGAAGAATGTTGTCTTTGGAAATGCTCCCAAGAGTAACTAATTTTAACTTAATTTGTGAAACGATTCTCACAAGTTTTTTTGACCCCTAAAAACAATTGATTTTTCACTATATATAGTTTCGTCAATTTCCTTGTTAGATTTATTAGTGTGCAAAAATCAAATTAGGAATTGTAAAATGATTAATCTACATATCGCTAAAAGAGCGGATGTTTTTATTCAAATTTGTGTCATTTTTTAATTTTTTTGGCCTCCTTTTTTCTTGCCTTAAAACTAGCAAAGCACCCAATAAGAAATGATTGTGCTAGAGTTGTTGGTATATGTCAAAGCACGCAGCCTTATAAGCAAAAAGAATTGATACAGTGTTGAAGAGCCTCTCAGTTTTGCAGCAGAAGAAAAATTGTGCAAAATATATATGCCGCAGTGCACTTCAAGTTGAACTGAATGTATTGGAAAAAGTTCAAACTTGAGAGGGCAAAACCAATCAAGTTCAATTTGAGTTTGTAATAAAAGAAAGTAAGATTTTTTCATATTTATGAATTTTTTAAAATAGTCATCAGCTCTTCCGCACTAACCCGCATAATTTATGTTGAAATTTTTTTTGCTACTATAAGGCTAAGAGGCTGACGTTACGAAGTAAAAGATGACAAAAAATTGTTCAGAATTTTGAATTTTTTTTTCTTGACCGCATTAAGTTTCAAGTTTATGATGACAATTTTATATTAGTTTTAACAATGCAATTCAAACTTGGGGTAGGAAGTGCAAAAAAATGCATGCCTTTTCCCCGCGATTTGATATGACTATGGTATCATATAAACCACCCTCCATTAATTTGGAAATAATTGCATACCATTTTGGGTTGGAGCAATTGGAAAATATATGTTTATGTAGGCGAGCAGAAAATTTTTTTGCAGCTACTGAACTTCTTGCAGCTACTTGTGGCTGCCGCACAAATTCAGAGCACACCTTATTTTAGACAGAATGATAACAGTAAGGTAGTGATTGCCGAAGTCGCGTCAACGTGTTGCGAGATTGCCAACAGAGGGCAAGAATCTATACAGAAATTAGAGCCGGTTATCGCCGCGAGGCTGTTAAGCTATCACAATCAAAGACCACCAAACTGAAACCCGCTACTTGTTTCAACTAACTCACAATTAGATGTCATTATATAATTTTTCCAACTTCTGACGAAAATTGACAAAACTTTTTGCACGGTGCGTTTATTTTTCTCAAGAAAAATGTCGAATTTTTTATGCCAGCTATTTTTGATGTTTTTTTTTATCATTTGACACTTATCAATGGTTTGAGCTCAAATTTAAAAAAAATACCTGCGATAGTTGTTTGCAAATTAAGACGGTGTGAAATTGTCAGTTTAGCCGATTTAAGATAATAAACGTGCAATATACTTTGTGCTTTTAACGCGTAATTGGCGACTTAATTATTTCAAGAAGTCGGAAAATCCCGGCGTCGCCCTGATACAAGCAGTCTCATTAGTTTCGAACCGGTTGCCGAACGAGTAAGAGTTTAAACAACTGTTTCAATTATTTCTGCATAAGCACAACTTAAATCAGCAAAGAGAATTGTTTTAGACGAGCTGTTATTATTTTGACAAAACTGTTAATGTTTCAGGTAAAAAAAAACTGTAATAAAAATACATTGAAAACAAAATATTGCAAAATGTTGGCCTAACCTGAAAGAATTGCGGTTGGTTTTCTCAGGTAATTGATTCAACTTTCAAAAAAAAACTGACAAAAAATTTATGGATTGGTTTTTCTAGTCCGTCAAATTTCGATTTTAAGACAACAGTTTTTATTACAAAACATTTTAAATGAACAAAAAGAATGTCCTCAGCTCATTTTTCAAATTTTTTTATGCCTTTATCAAGTATAGTAAATTTATTGAGGTTCGAAAAATGCCATTTAGTCATTTTGGAATATATGTAACCGGCTAACTATAGCAAGCACGAGCGGCTAATTAGATGATTCCAAAATGACTTGAGGTTAACAACTTATTCTCAATAATCCGGTTCGAGACGCTGAGTGTAAACCTTTGAGTTTTACACAGAGTGCGGGGGATAAGAATAAATCATATGGAAAAAAAAAATTTAAAACTTTTTTTGATGGTTTTTGTGATGTTTTAAACATATCTATATATTTTTTCAGCTTTAGGACGCTTCGGAACACTCAGGGGGCTTAAGGATTGTCAGTATAGCCTAATTGGTTTAATTGGTTTAATTTTTTTTTGTAGTTTTTTGCAGTAGATATTTAATTCGTCATATAAATTGTTCAAAATTGAATTAAGCGTGTTATTGGGACTATTTATTGCCTTAATAGATACGAAAATCTTTTGTAATTACATAACGTGGGGGAATAATTTTTGAAAAAAAAATCTCTAAAAATTTTTTTTTTCGTGAAAACGTTTTCGTGAAAATATTTTTGATTTTGGAAGGTGAATCTGATGATCGAACAATGACAGTTCAAATACTTGAAAAGCGGTGGCTTTTAAAATAAAAGCTCTTTTTCTTTCCACCCCGCCCCCATTTGAATGTTTAATATGAAAAATTATTTTCAACGCTGTCATCATAATGCAATGAAACTTGGCATAGTGATCAAAATAACTGATATAAACTGAGATTTTCTTCATGCTTTACATTGTAACATTACGCGCTTAGCCATACAAACAAATAAAACAACAATCAAAATAGACATTTTGTTTTTTTTGGGCAGGGGTAGTAGAAAGAAGCCAAAGCGAGTGATTATAAAGAGGCTAGCCAGACTTACAATGAGGTGTTTCTTCGTTATCTTCAAGTGTCCCTCCAAGTTTTTCTTCAGATTCTCCAGCTCAGTTCTCTCCATCTCTATCGTCTTGTCCGCCTCGTCCAAATCCTTCTCGCGTTTCGGCCTCGTTTTCCGAATGTCTACACACTTCTTGTTCATCAAAATATCCTTCCGCATATTGTCCAACATCTTTTCCAGCGCTTCTTTCCCCCGAAGTAATAATTTCACCTCTTCGTTTTCCGTGATCAAGTTCTCTCGTAGTTTGATCACGACTACTCGAACCTCCCGAACATATCCGAATGCGACTGTGTTGCTATGACGAACTAGAACATCCCGCATGTGTGGTAAGGCGTCGTGTTGCCGACCATACTCTCGGTCGTTTTCCGATCTGCGATTCACACTCCGACCGAGCTTTATTTGTCGGACTGTGTCGTCTTGCCACTGTCTCGGTCCGACACAAGCGGTGCCCATGCGCATAATCGGTCGCAAGGGGGCGGGTGCCGACGATGGCTTCAAAGGAGTGGCACAAATATCGACCATGGTTTCCTTTATATACTACTTATAACTACTAATAACTACTACTCTCAGTAATCTAGTTCTAAGTTTATAATTTTGACGACTTCAATCAAGACTCCTCATTCAGAGCACGTGGAAAAATATGGAAAATTAATCGAAGCTGCCGGAATACCATTCAAATGTGCACCGGAAACGTTAATCAATAACTTGTGATCAATTTCTAGCGATGCATAAATTATTTTTGAGATGATTTTTGACACAGTTATATGTTTAGTTCACAATTAAATTGATACAAATTTTAGCACGCTGACTATTTTTTCTGGTTGCTATGTTTGAAAGCTTCAGTATGTGGTTTATTGAGCGTTTAACATAGATCACCACCAGAATATATTGTAGTGTAGACCGGTTTGAACAATATTACTTTGAACAAAACGAGACCAGGTGAAATTAATCAATAGCTTTTGAATACATTTTTAGCTGCGTTTTAACATCAGCTGTTTAGCTGTTGATTCAATCACAAGTACCATGTTAATGCTCTTGTAGCTGACAAAAACTGTGAGTTTGTATTAAGGGATCAGAAAATTTCACCCTGTGAACCAATTTCTAATTCATTTAATATCCAGATACATGCTCAACTTTGTATTTTAGGGCGGCGTCAAAAATGCTATAAGGGCAAGGAATAAGGCTAGTGTGACAGGTAGAGCCAATCGTACCAAGTGCCTCGGTCCCTTTGTAAACTTTTCAAGGGGATCAAGTTAATTTTTGATGTCTATTGGAACTTTCAGCGGCTCTTTCCACTTCCTAACACATTAAAAATTTTTCATCTTCTGAGTTAAGCTGCGTGTTTGTTTTTGTTCCGACTTTCGAAGAAACCGGAATAGTTATACTCGGTGTGGTTTTTTATTCAGTCAATTTCTGAGTTCAAATGTAAAAAGATATTTTACCTCCGATTGTTTTTTTAGAAATTTCTTGGGGTTTGAAATTTGCCAAATTGGTCATGTTCTGGACTAAATTATGCACGTTTTGAAAAATTTATTGTTCCAACTTTTGATACAAAAGTAACGGAATATTTGTCTTCGGGATGGGTTTTTTTTTCTTCAGACAAATTTCGACTTTTTAACTAGCCATTTTTGACAGAATTTTTTTATATCATTCGAAAGCTATTGTTGTCTTGAGCTTAAATTTGAAAAGATATTTCACCTGTGATCATTTTTCGTAAAGTTATGAGAGTTTAAAGATTGCCATTTTGCCATTTTGACCAATTTGGGACAATTAACGCGCGATATAATTCGCGCTATTAACGCGTAAGCGGAGATTTAATCCGTTTTAGAAATCGTCCCAAATTGGTTGAAAAAAGCTTTATTTGCCATAATTGATTTGTTACAAGGAGCGGAATCTATTGTTTTTTTACTTTATATGGCGTGCGGGGCGATGATTTTCATAGAAAAATTTTCAAATTTTAGAATAGTTTTTCATTTTATTTTATTTCATTCAATTTTTTTATGTTGTTCATGTTATTACTGCTCCATAAACGTTAAAAGGCAGTCGGAACTTTCAGGGCTTCGCCCTGATACGAGCAGTCTTGTTCATATTGCGTGGCGAAATATCCCGCTCAAAAAAATCGTTCCAAAAGAATTGAGGCTAGCTGATTGGTGGTCGTATTAATTTCGAACGACTCAAAATTTTACACTTTGATATTGTCCAAATTTATAGGTTTTCAATATTTTCGTTTCACAAAAACTGTTCGATATGAATTAAGGGACAGTTGGAACATTCAGGGCTTTGCCGTGAAATACGAGCAGTCTTGTTATGGCTGAATGCGTGATTTTACGATGGAATGTATGAAGAACAAATCGGTCCACAGTAGGTAGTTTGTTCACCACGCACGATATACCGGGTCTTATGCACTAAACGGCCCAAAATCATTTTTTCTACATCTCTTGAACTGAAATTTTTGTGGTTGAATTTGATTGGCTAATTAGCCAATCAAGTTCCATCGACATTTTCTGCCATTTCAAATGAAATAATTAATATTTTGCCGTTTCAAGCAGATAAAAATATTAGCCGATTTAATAATTTGAATTTTTTTTGTCAAGCCGGTTTATTAAGTTTTCTTTGTCTGGGCAAGGTTTCACAAGTAAATCAAATTTAATTTGATTATTTTACAAAGTTCCATCTTTTCGGAAATTTCGGCTAATATTTTTATCTGCTGGAAAGGTTGATCGGAATGCCTGACCGTCTAACTTGAATTTTATTGGCTAAAATTACCCAATTAAATTCGATCGCATAATTTCCAGCTTACGATGTAGAAAATTTGATTTTGGGACGTTTAGTGCATAAGACCCGATTTACCACCCAGAAAAACGACACTAGTTTGAAAAAAAATGAAATGTGAAATGTGAACTGAAAAAATGAAATGTGTGACGTGAAATTCATATGGGAACTTCATACTTCAAAAAAATGAAATGTGAACTTCATATGGGAACAATTTGTATTACATACGCCATCTGGTCATTCAATTACAAATTGTTCAAGAACTTTTCATGGATCTCGGAACCTCGTTAAAAGCGTTGGCATCCGGCCGAGTTATTCAAACTTCTGAACACGTTTATATAAACTGTGTTTAAGTATAACGATCTGACTGCCTTGAATTATATTACATATCTGTTGATCTCAGATAGAGAGCCAAGAATCTCAAAGCTTGAGAACTCATGTTATTAATCAATTGCTTCTTAAGAGTGGAAGGTCATCTTTTAATTGGTGTACCAAACCGTTCGGATTCAGGAACTGCAACTGGCATACTCTACCGTATGACAAGCGTAGAAAAGTGTTTTAAATTTAAACAGCTAATTGTTCCGACTTTCGATACGAAAGTAACGGAATATTTGTGCTCGGGGTGGGTTTTTTTTCTTTTTAACTAGCCATTTTTGACGGAATTTTTTTATATCATTCGAAAGGTTTTGTTGTCCTGAGCTTAAATTTGAAAAGATATTTTACCTGTGATCATTTTTCCTAAAGTTACGGGGGCTTAAAGATTGCCATTTTGGCCAATTTGGGACAATTAACGCGCGATATATTTCGCGCTATTAACGCGTAAGCGGAGATTTAATCCGTCTTAGAAATCGTTCCAATTGGTTGAAAGAAGCTAATTTGCCATAATTGATTTGTTACAAGGAGCGAAATCTATCCTTTTGTACTTAATATGGCGTGTGGGGGATGATTTTCATAAAAAAAATTTAAATTTAAAAAAAAATTTCATTTTGTTTTATTTCATTTAATTTCTTAAATGTTATTACTGCTCCATAAACATTAAAAGGCGGTCGGAACATTCAGGGCTTCGCCCTGATACGAGCAGTCTTGTTTATGTTTTTAAATTGAATTGTTTCCATATTTGGTTCGGTCAGATCAATTTAAACGGTGTCGTTAGTAAAACTAATCATCCCTGTATTGCAAGTAGTTTCCGGGAAGCAAAAAAAAAATCAGAAAGAAAATTTTTGTTAGTTCATGGCAAAATATTGGCATCACTCGAAGACGGCAGCTTACACACTGACTTAATAATCACTGTTAGAAGCAGAATGCAGCAAAATTATTTTAAGAAAACCTGAGGAATATTTGCGTTGAATACAAAAATTACCAAAAATTGAGATTGATCGCTGTCGTTTGCGAATTTTTTTTGAGGGACTTTATTTTTCTTCAATTTTTTTGGCATTTTTATGCAACGGTTTTTGTTTCTGACTAAAATACGCTTCAAAATTATTATATATTGGCTCCAAGAAGTCTAAAGATAATTTTAACTTCGTTCAACCAGAAATGCCTGTCTTAAAATATTATCAAACAGCAAAAAAAAATCGCTATCAGAATTTAAAACAAAAATGTGGCAAGCAGAAGGGGGAGCTTTAGATGAGCCACCCACCCTATCGGCACATTAAGTGAGTTTAATACAAGATACAAGATAAAAGACATCTCAAAGCAGATTGCAAAATTCTAGCGTCGTCATTTCATTTAGTCTTGTGATGGTCTTCATTTTATTATGGTTAAATTCTAAGTTGTAAGTGACGTAATTATTTGTTCCGACGAATCTCGAAAGAGTGGGAGGGAACTGGGGCGTGGACTGGGATATGTCTAGCCGATTTTAGATGCCTCAAAAATCTCTTAGAGGGTCAAAAATAGAGACACAATGAAAGCTTTTAATTTGTGACTTGCATTCCAAATAAATGTTCAAAAAAATCAAGCAAACGAAAATTCAAGTCAGGACTAGTTTTTTGGTCATTATTTTGGTTTTTAATTTTCCAAAAGTCAAAGTTCATTGCAATAAAGATAGTAGACATAATGTAGTAATAGAAAGGCTACTCAAATATAAAAGGCTATTAATTTTATTGTTTACATATGAATCTAGTGGACTCTTTTCTATTCTAAATTATTTCACCCCTTAAGATAAGAATGCCATTTTAACTTATGATTTGATTCAGATTTTAAGTGTACAACTTAACTTAAAACTTTAAAAATCAAATCCAAATATCTGATTTTTCGACTTCTGAGCAGATTTTTTTCTTTCAATTTTTTTTAAACCTTGGAGAGGCAAAGATTTTAAACAAAATTTAACGGCTGATCGAGGGAATGAAAAAATATCCACGACGCCAGTCAAGCGGAGTCTATTGTTTTGTTTTTGAAAATAGGGCTCTTTTTCCTCCCCCCCCCCCCCCCCCACCTCACTCAAACATGAATTTTATGGTCTAACGAGCGGTCTTACAAGGTTAATTATGTTTGTCATGGACCAATTACTCTTCATGCCATTTTTCATGCCAATCGGGCAAAGTGAACAGTAACTTCAAATATAAAATTTTGCAGAAGGGGGGAAAAGAAAAAAGAGCCAAAAATAGATGCATACTCCAGTGCTCTGAATTTTAAAGTAAATGAAGCAGGTAGAAGTGTTATGAGTTCTCTCAGTTAAACTAAATATTGACTTTTTAAAATAAAAAAAAAATAAAAAAAAAAACTTCTGCCACCTGGTCAAACGGAGGATAACAGATTTAAAGAGGACTGAAATCTAATAGCAGGCGCAAGGAAAACTAAACTAAAAGTGTTTTGGATGAGACTACCTGCATTTTTCAGTGACTCCAATTCCGAGCTCAAACCAATGGCTGAAATATTCTCATTTTTATCTTATTTCTTCGTTTTAAAATAAGATTTAAATTTTCTTATAATAAATTTCCCTTTCAGTAGAGTCACTAAAAACTTAAACAACAAGTTCTAAACGGACAGTGAGCATTGAGTAGTGTACCGTTTTCTCGGCGAGCATCGTTTAACAATTTCTCCCTACCTTCTCTCCACTGCTTTCCAACAAAATAATGTAAGACAGAAAATTAGTAAGTCAATAAAACAAAAATCCCCTGGTATTGGTAAAAATTAACAATAGAAATAGATGAACAGTTGTGCATAACTGTTTTTCCTACTCGCTCATCCCTTTTTAATCAATCTGTTATATAAATATCATTTTAACTCTGGGGCCAGATCGACTATGATCTATGATATAATTTAACCGAGACTTATAACGTTAATTACTAGTTAAAACAAAAGGATCAATCAATCGACCCCATCGTTTTTTTAGTAAAATAATAATATCTGAACCAGACTAACTAGAAAGCTTATTTTGAAACTGAATTAATTGTAAACCGGCAAAGCTTAACGCCTATGCTAGGCACAAAATTAAAATAGGAAACTACGCGTTCAATGATTGTTAAAGTTTGTCTTATTGAAAATTTTCTAGCCCTGATCAAAATACATAAAAAAGACATGTCAAGTTTCTGTCTTTTACAACATTTTGGTACTCATATATCAACAGGTCGATCCAGTTCGTTAAACAGTGTAAAAAAAATTGGTTCAAAAACCAAAAGTTTCCATAACAAACAAAAATTTGACCCAGTTGTCTCGGATTTTTGCTTGATTTTAGCTTCAAACGCAGGAAAAGTTTCGTTGATTTTATCAACTGGCGAAAAAAAACTTAAAAAACAAATTGCTTCTTTGAAATTTTTGCTATCTGATTAGTTTTTTGAAAGCCAAGCTTTTGGAGTTTTCTCACTGCCCAATTTCATCCCTTGAGTTTTTTTGATTAAAACTGTCAGTACAGCAGCAAAAATTCCAGTTTTAACATCCATATCCATGGATTCTGGCGTAAGATTAATTTAAAATTTTAATAGATTTTTTCATACAGATTAGTTTGTTTGAAAACCAATTTCTTGGAAATATCTAAAGACAAATTGGGAAGAATCAAACCAGCAGCTTTTATGAGTTGTGTTGGTTGAAATGGTCCGTTCAGCAGCAACATTTCCAGTTTCGAAATTCATACCCAAAAATACTGGCCCTAGATGAAGTTAAAAGTTATTTTGAATTTTTTCCTCATATTAGTTTTTTTGAAAGCCAAGCTCTTGTAATTTTCTGAAGACAAATTGGTAAAAATGAAACCAGCAGCCCTTATGAGTTGTTTTGATTAAAATTGTCCGTACGGCAGCAAAAATTCAATTTTGTAAATCGGTATTCAAAAATTCTGGCGTAAGATGAAATTAAAAGTTTCTTTTGGCCTCAGATAGTTTAAAAGTTTTGAGCACAGGTTTTCGGGTTTTTTTTTCTGCCAAGAAAACCATAGCAACTGGATCTTTTCAGTCTTTGGTTTGCGATTAACACTTAATTTTGAGTAAAGAGCAGTGAAGTCGTTTTGAAGGTACCATCGCCAAAAATTTTGTGAACCGTGCCAAAAATCCCAAGCCCAGAATTGTTGCAAAAATAGCGAGCCCAATTTTTTGGTGTTCAAAAAACTGTTTGTTGCTTTTTGTTAATTCTCCTTGTCCTCTAAGTTTTTGCCCTTTGTCTACTGGATGCTTTTCTTATTCGTTCTTAAAAAGACGGCAAAAATTTTTTGTCGGGTAACCGTAGAGTTTAATCATAAGCCCTTTAAAGGCCAAATCTCGGCTTGTTTTCGACACTCGCCAAAATCTGCTGCCAAAAATTTTTCTGCTCGATTTTTTCTTGCGGGGGGAGTGATTATGATCTGAAGGAAAATTTTTATGGCCGTTAATTTTCGAAAATTTTGAGGGGAAGTCAGCGTGACAATATTTAAAATAAAAAGATGTTGCCCTTGTCTGTTTTTTAAATAAATGTTTTAAGTTTAATGTTTGAATTTTTAACCACTAAAAAGGCTGCACTTTTTTATTCATTTTTTTTTGGCCAACTGAAAACGAAATTTTGGCGCCAGATTGAAAAAAAAAGAAACCGTATTTGAGCCGAAGTCGATTAATCAAATTTGAGGTTCAATATGCCAAAATTAAATAAGCAAAAATTGTTTGCAGTGAATGTATTTTGGAAACTTAAATAGTCGAACTCATGATTGTCTCAACTTGCTCCTGTAAGTCCACAAAAACTATAAACAGACGGCTTGTCGGCTCACTTTATGGGCGGGTCTTGAATCTTAAATATAAATCAACTGCAAAAATTAAGATCTACAAAAAAGCAGCTAAACAGTTTTTATTGGTTAAAAATTGCTTATTATACAATTCCGCCAAACGGGAAAATGCTTGCCATACAATTCCATATTTTTTAAATACCCTTATTATGCCATTTTATACAATTTTCCAATTTTATGAAATTCCATGGATGTGTAAAGCCACCAGAAATTATACGCACGTTTTTAAATTCTACTCGGGATAATAAAATTCAAAAGTGAGAGGAAAAGGAAAAACAACCCAATCTGCTATTTGACCCGACATCCTCTTTCGTGTCGTCTGTATTTGCTGTTGTATCATTTTAGTTTAAGAAGAAAGCCGCCCTTTATTATCTCAGAGAGAATGTTTGTTTGTCTTGTATGAACGAGATAAACGCCCGGTATAGTTACCACTACTACCATCATCACGTGACCACAACCCTGATTGCATTTTAATTTCGTTTTAATGAAAACAAAAAAGAAGCTATTGTACAGCCAAGAGAAAGTATCGCGTCCATTCACACCGTCCCATATTTGACTCATTTTTTTTATGGTAGCTCAATCAGTATTATTATCAAGCACTTAGTGGCTTATTGAATTCTTTTTTTCTACCAATTTCCCTTAAGATAACATTTCATGGTATACAAGTAGATAAAAACGCATTTTCTCGATTATTGAATATTTCCTTCTTACCATAATTTCAAGCGTAGTTTTCCGCTTCCACCAAACCAAAGACCTCAAGTGAAAAAGATTCAATTCTACTAATGCCTAATTATTCTTACTTGTGCATTAAATTTTCCTCAACTTTTCTTTTAGTTTCAGAGTCGTAAGACTTTCTACCATTAAATTAATGAAATTTTATTTTATTCGAAAGAGTATAAAATATACACATCAAAATTAATATAAAAAGATTGAGGGAAAAGTGTTTCAATTTCCATAATTAATTTCTTTCAAACACTCTCAAAATCTTGCTTTGTGTGCTTTTAATTATTGAAAGTAGTAAAAAACGACTTGTTTTTGCTGCAGACGAAATATATATATTTTTTCTGATTTGCAAAACTTTGCAAAAAAGAGAGACTGCTACTTTGCATTATTAAAAACTGTAACTGACATTTAGCAGAACCGCTACAGAAGCTGAGCTGGTGAAATGCAGGTACGTGCAGAAAACATTTCCTTTCTTGCTTCTTATTTTTTTGTGGATTAGTCCCATTTTTTAACTGTGGGTGTCATCTACATTAACACCAAGAGGCGTGAACTTTACCCGAGTAGTTACCATTTTCAGCAGAGAATGACAGGCCTACCGTTATTTTTGGTCCAATTTTCGAAGAAAAATACGGAATTTTGTACTCGGGGGTGGTTTTTTCTTCAGTCAAGTTTCGGCTTTTTAACTAGCAATGTTTGACATTTTTTGTTATGATCCCTAAGTTCTTTTTGTCCTGAGCTCAAATTATAGCTGTGATCATTTTTGTAAAATTATGGGGTTTTAAAGATTTTCATTTTGCTAAATTGGGATAATTAACGCGCGATATATTTCTCGCTATTAACGGAAATGCGGATACTCAGTCGTTCCAAATTTAATTGAGACATGCTAAATGATCTACTTAATACCTAAGTATATGCTAACAAGACTGCTCGTATATCAGGGCAAAGACCTGAATGTTCTGACTGCACTTAGAGCCAATTGAAAAGTTTTTGGTTGAATAGTTGACAAAATAATTGAGAAAAAAAAAGTTTTTTTTTTCACTGTCTCTTCATTTTATCCCCCCACACGCTATGAAAAAAAACTAAGGGTGTATTTACCGTCCCGTATTGTAATAATAAAATTAAATTGCTGTTCAATTTGGAACGCACTATTTATCTTCTTACACGTGTTATAATATGCAAAATATTGCACTTCAATTATCCAAAATTGGCGAATTTGACAATTTTCAAACGCCCATAATTTTACGAAACCGAATCACAGGTGACTTGTCTTTTCAAATTTCAGCTTAGAATAACAAAATCTCTCAGATACTAAAAACATTATGTCAAAAACGCTGAATTAAAATGTCGAAAATTGACTCATTAAAAAAGCACGCCAAGCATACCTCACTTTCTTCGAAATTCGGAACAAGTATATCGCATTGTACTAAACATAGAGCGTGGGGGAATCATTTTCACAAAAAGAGTCAGAAAAAAGTTTTTGTTAATTGTTTTTTGGTAAACGTTCTCAATTTTTTTAACCGAAGACCACTCCATAAACTTTAAAAGGCAGTCTGAACACTCAGGGCCCTGATACGAGCAGTCTTGTTTTTTTGTTTTGTTTTGCAAATGATTAATTTCAAGGGAACAAAATATATATTTTTTGCGTGACCATGACGCTAGAAAACATCAGAACTTCTTGAAAGCTGACTCAGTTCATTCTTGTTGTTCCGAATTACGTAAAGAAGGTAACGGAATAATTGTGCTCGGGGTGGTTTTTTTTCTTAAGACAAATTTCGAATTTTTAACTAGCCATTTTTGACGGAATTTCTTGAAATCATTCATAAGCGACTGTTGTCCTGAGAATAAATTTGAAAAAATATTTCACCTGTGATCCTTTATTGTAAAGTTATGGGGGTTTAAAGATTGCTATTTTGGCCAATTTGGGACAATTAACGCGCGATATATTTCGTGCTAATAACGCGTAAGCGGAGATTTAATCCGTCTTAGAAATTGTTCCTAATTGGTTGAAAGAAGCTTATTTGCCATAATTTGTTTGTTACAAGGAGCGGAATCGTTTGTTTTGTACTTTATATGGCGTGTGGGGCGATGATTTTCATAGAAAAATTTTCAAATTTTAGAAAAGTTTTTCATTTTTTTTTATTTCATTCAATTTTTTTGTTGTTGTTCATGTTATTACTGCTCCATAAACGTTAAAAGGCAGTCGGAACTTTCAGGGCTTCGCTGTGATACAAGCAGTCTTGTTTAATTTCGTGTTGCTTCCTTTTTACTGATTTTTAGAATAATTTTCTTTTTAGGGCAAGAAATACGGCAGCACACTGCAGGTGCCGAAGATCACATTCGGAGCGGCAAAATCCAAATCCAAACTGGAAAGAAAAAAATCGTCTTCAGTAGCCAACATTGACACTTCAAAACAGTCGGTGGAGGACCAGATCTCGGATTTCTGTGGACGGCAGACACCCAGAGCCGTTGCCTCTTCCTCGGCAAGATCCGAAGCAGCAGCAGCAGCAGCCGGCGAAACGAGCACGGAACACAGTTTGAGTAGCTCGTCGAGTTGCAGTAGTTATGCCAGTCGTGGGGATGACGACGGGAGGCGTTGCGGTGAGAGTGGGGGTGGGGGCGATAGTAGAAGAGGGAGTATGATGAGAGAAAAAAGTCTTAGTTGCAGCCAAGGACTGAATAAGCTGAGTTTGATACCCATTACGAAGAAGCACAGCTTCACAATTGGTGAGTTGCATTGTAAGCTAAAATAGTTTCTCGTAAATTATTCTCCTTTTGGCACAGTTGAAGAAGAAATTAATTGAAAAACAAAAAAAAACAGACTGCAAATTAAACCTTAGTAGATTCACAGGTCTTTTTTTGAATTTCATAACTCCACAATTTAAGTTCATAGCTACAATCAATTAATCAAGAAATCCAAACTACCTTCTGTGTCAAAGTCAAATTGATTTTTTTAAAAGAAGAAAAACTGGTTTAAACTGGTCTTTTGGGTCAGTCGTCAAAAAATGTTCGCGAGACTGATAAAAAACACAGTGAAAAAAGAACAGGGAAGGGGGGGGGGCTGCTGTGCTAGATAATCTTCCGACTATTAGAAAATAGTCCGACCAATTTTTTGCAGCTCAATCTGATTCGAATTTTAAAACGATAATTCGCTAAATCCCATACGAAGCTTATCTGTATCACCTGATTTCGCATTGGAGAAGTTTCACTTGGAACCAAAAGACAGGAACAAAAAGTTTACATGTATTTGTTTGTGAGTGGTCATAAAACGTATAGCTGCTAATTAATAAGTACTTGTAATGAAAAGAATCAGGAACCAAATTAACATCCTCCCTCCCTCCCCCAAAGCCGTTTTGGGGGGAAGATGTTAATTTGATTGGTTCTGGGCTCGACTTTTTCAGCCAATCAGAGCAGCGCATTTTACACGCAACGCTGGGCAAATTTAAATTAAATTGAACGCTTGGGTATAAGATCTTATAACTTGGTCTATTTTGTGGGGAGGATGTTAACGTGATCTTATAAGACTTGATTTATGAGGGGCAAAATTTTTCAAGAATATAATCAAAGGGGGTTGGTTAAAATGACAAAAACTGTTTGATAAAAATACCACACCGAGCGCGAATATACTGTTCTTTCTTCGAAAGTTGGAACAGCAAGGATCGCAAAGTCAAAAATTTTGTACCAGTTTTTCTTGATACTGAAAATCATTTTTGGATTTTTTAGATTCGTTCTGATGACGCCCAAAAATGATATATTTCATTCCGATTATCAGTTGTAGTGCCTAATTTTGCGTGAAAAAAATTGAAAAAACTGTTGGAAAAAAAAAACAAAAAGACGCACCAAGACAAACATTTTTCCCCCAATTTCAGTGGTCCAAATAACAAAACTGGTCGTATATCAAGCAGGTCTCTGAGTATTTCAACTGTCCTGTAAATGGTCTCAAATTTTTTCGCCAAAGAAGTTTTAGATAAACTATTTACTTTGAACCTTTTATTTTTCAATCTTAACAGCCAATATAAAAGATTAACTGATAAAAATTGAGTTTTTTTATCAATTGGGGGGGGGGGGGGGGGGGCTGTTTTGGGCGCAGAAGACTCAAGGTGCGAAAAATTTTATTACCCTTTAAACCGTCCTAAGTAATTATTGTCCTTTAATTTGTCCTAAGCTGACTGGTTTTATCGCTATTTCTATGAAGTTCAGAACAAATTAATAATGGTTGGTTGATAAAACTGTCGCTTATTAGGAAATTTACGCTTGCGGAATTCATCTGACCAATCAGCTTGCCTAAATTCAATTTGGAATAATATTGAGTGCGAGCTCAAGTTCTTTGCATTGAGCATTCAGCATCATAAATTTTTCAAAGGACCCCAATGAGTTCAAAGCGCTTCCAAACTGGCAATTCAAAACCCTCGGTATGTTACAAAAAAGGTGGTAGATGAATTAATTTTTCATACTTGAATTCAAGCGTTCGATATCGCATTAGGTGTAGAAAAAAATGTTTTTCTACAACATCATTATTTGATGGCCAAAATTGTTCTATTAAAAGTTTTCTAGTATCAGGGCAAAGCATTGAACGCTTTGATGGCCGTTCAAGGGGTCTGCAATATTGTTGGTGGACAAATATTGGAGGAAACATCCAAGTTTTTTTATGTTTATTTGCGATATGCGGCCCATGGAGTTCAGAAACTTAGACGACAGGAAATTAGACGACCAAAAAATAACGAAATTTAATTGCGTGAATTTTGTTTGCAGACTTAAATTAACTTTTGGCTGAGTAAATACTGGTTGTCCAATTTAGACAGTTATTTGCGTACATACTTGAGTAAATATTGGTTGTCCGTAATTTCCGTTTCTTTACGGTCGTCTAATTTGTTTGTCGTCTAATTTCCTAGGCCCCCATAAAACCTATTCAAGAAAAAAATGTCGAGTTGAGTATGGGCCGCATTGTTTTTTGAATAGGTTTTATGTCCTTGAGTCTGACTGAAAAAACAGTTGCATATTATATTTTTACTTGCCCCTACACATTTAAAACAGCCAAATTGACTGCTTGTGTCAACTTTTTCGTTAAATTTTCAAATAGTTTGTAAACTTTTTTTTTCTACCCGCACTCAGTAAAAAGAGAAAATAATCAATTATATTCTAATTATAATAGTTTTTTCAGCAAAATTATAATTAGTTATAAGCACCAGTTTTAAATATTAAAACACTTTATAATCTATTATAATGATAACACTTTTGGTGACATTTTGTTAAATTATAATCAATTATAATTGATTACAGTTTTTCCGAAAATCCCTTTTTATCTATTATAATAGATTTTAATCCCTTTTTCTATCAAACTATTATCTCACAAAAAAATCAATTATAATGGATTCTAATTTAGCTATTCTGCATGAAAATACAGTAAAAATCAAATATAGTGCAAATTTTAGCTATAAACAGGGGCGGATCTAAGACTTTCTCGAGAGAGGGGGGCGATTTTCAAAAAAAAAATTTAAGTTGACCAAATTGATTTTATGAGCTCTCCTAACTCACTATAAAGACCACATTTTGATAAATTTTTCTGCGCCGCAGGCGGAATTATGAAAGATGAGAGAACAGGCCAAAAGAGGCGTTTTTAGAAAAATTTTGGGAAATTTTGATCTAGAAATCGCGTTTTTTTTGGCGCGCTCTCCCCCCTCAAAATTAGTATCTATTAGCGCCAAAGGCGCCTTCTGAAAGTTTTTATGCTCCGTCACCAAAAATGGATATCTCAAGATAGTTCAAAGGGAGAAATCCCAGCCCCCCCGCCCCGAAGTGAAACATACGGAAGCATAATTCAAGAGCTCAACCTATTGGTTTTAGATGAGATAACTGGCAAGGCTTCAAACAAAACAACAATATATTTTTGAAGAACCGTTTGATGTTCTTCATTATTAGGATCAGGACGGGCGGATTTAGGGTTTAGGGGAGTGGGTTGCGGACGCCATTTTGAAGGATTCGACTCCCTGTCGCCCGAAAGGGTCCCTACTTTTAGTAATATGAGATATCCATATTTGGAGACGGACCACAAAAATTTTTTTTAGGCGCCTTCGGCTCTGATATTTTTAAATTTTCAGTGAAAAGTGCGCGCCAAAAAAAAGTAATTTTTTGTTCAAAATTTTCCAAAAAATGACTAAAAACGCTGTTTGGCCTGTTTCTTCAAAAGTTTGCCTGCGTCGCACAAAATTTGTCTAAAACAGGGTCTTTTCAGTGCTTTGGTAGAGCTCGGAAAATCAATTTGGTCGACCTTAAAAAAGGTCGATGAAGTCTGTGGAAATTTTTCGAAAATCCGCCTCAACCCTCCGAGAAACTCTCATATTCGCCCCTGGTTTACTGATTTCTTAATTCCTACTGATTTTTACTGTGTTTTCATGCAAAATAGATAAATTATAATCCATTGTAATTCGTTTTTCTTGTAAAATAATATTTTGGTAGAAAAAGGATTATATTCTATTATAATAGGTTATAATAGATTATAAGAGATTATAAGAGAATTTCGGAAAAATTCTAATCAATTATAATTGATTATAATTCAATAGATTGTCACCAAAAATGTTATCAATATAATGGATTTTAAGTCGTTTAAAAATCTAAAATTGGCGCTTATAGCTAATTATATTTTTGCTAAAAGTACGATTAAAATTTTAATATAATCGATTTTTTTCTCTTTTTACTGAGTGCGGGTGTCAATCAGTTTAAAAATTTTCAAGGACCAAAATAACATTGGCTCAATCATGTTTGAATTTGACCCCCTCACCAACCAAAGGGTCCCCCCTTTGGTTTTTTGTTATGAAATCCTCTTTTGGCTGAAAAATCCTTAATTTTTTCTAAGGGGTCCTTTGGCGCCAATATATACTAATTTTAAAGGGAAGCACGCTCCAAAAAAACTCAATTTTTGGTCAATTTCCATAAAATGCCAAAAAAGAAATAAGCATTTTGACCCTTTACTCAAAAAATTGCCTGTGGCGCAAAAAATAAACAAATTGGTCAGCCTAAAAAAGGCCGACTTCATACCATTTCTTTTTTTTGTGTTATTATGCCTGATTGCGTGATTATATGATGTAAAGGATGAAGTGCGAATCTGTTTACAGGAAATGGTTGGATCGACATGCTAAATTTTTTTGAGTCTTAACAATTTTAACATAGTTTTTCAAAATAGGAAATAAAACATTGAGGAGAAGTAGAAAATAGCCTTATTTTCTTGCAATGAAAAATCAGGTTTTCATTCTCAAGAGAAAACATAAACACTAAAAAGTTTGCGAAATAAAAGAAATTGCGATTACGGGGAATGCAAAAAGTCTTTGACTTAAGACTGGCTGATATTCCTTGTTATTTAGGCTTGAAAAATTTGTTACCGGCCCAAATGTCCAGAAACAGATTACAAAATCAAAAACAATTGCGCGTTAATTTTGAGACATCTAAGAGTTTTATAACCGAATTGTTTTGTCAATAATACCCGCTAGTGACAAAAATGGATTTGGTTGAACATTTTTCAAAACTAACTTTGTTTTTGGGAAATTATCTTGTGAATAAACAAGACTGCGTCTCTACCAGGGCAACGCCAACTTGCTCTGACTGCATTTTTATTGAGTCGAGAAAGGCAAAAATACTGCTCGTATCAAATGCTCAATCAGAAAGCTTGACTGTTCTGATTGTCCCATGGCATCGATGAAAAGGATTTTGTCTTTAAATACTGTTGAAAAAAAAAGTTCGATATTTTATAACGCCGTAATCTCTGCAAACTTTATGTAACATACAAAGTGACATACTTCGCATCTGGTAACGTAACGTTAAGGGCAAATTGCTTGCGTCAATTCAGTTTGATTGATTTAATTAGCCGATCACGCTTTAAAGGACGAATATCGCTCGTTCATTATTCTAATTTAAACTTTTAAAAATTAAGATCAAAGGTAAAACACAGGTTTAAATTTGAGCTCAATGTGTCATTATTTGTCAATTGATATAAAAACTAAAATACAATTGCTTTAAGCATAATCAACCCACATTTAGAATAAAAATATTAATTTCCATTTTCATCTCTTAGGGGGTGTATTATTGAAAAAACCCACTAAATTTAAGTTTAAAACCAATTTTTTCACCGGTCTTTGGCTCACGTTCGACTCAATTTTCTTTTTCATGAAATAAATTTTATTTATTTTAGTCTGACTGACCAAACCATTATATGTATTAAAAAATCGAATTATTGCTTTCACGTTATTGGCTAACTTTAGCCAACCAAATCTAAACAGATAATTTAGGCTACAAAAATTTTGAAAAGCCAGCATAGACCGGGAGGCGAAGCCATAAGCTGAATGGTCTGAGAACAGAAAGAGTTCAAGAGCAGAAAAACAGATACTTATTCATTTTTATAAGCTAATCGATAATACAAGTATAAAAATTGTCAATATTACCCAAGAAACAAACAAATTATGCATAAATTGAATAACTGAATCAATTTTTTTTTGGAAATTCGTTACAAAAATCATGATGGAATTGCTCAGTTGATATATAACTTAATCATTTCTTCGAATTTTTTTGTTAACACTTTTAAATAGTACCTAAAACGGCAGTTGGCCTAATTTTTTTGTTTTGTACCGACCATTGAAGGAGTGAGGAACTTTGTATTCGGGTGTGTTTCATTTTTTTCGCTAAACCAGGTACCATAAAGAATTATCCGAATGGGTCAAATGATATATCATAAGAAAGCATGAGTCTTGATTCAGTCGTGATTGTAGCAAATTTAAAAATTTATCAGAAAAATATATAAGTGCCGAGGAAACGTTGTTGGAAGGTTCTGAGATTCATTTTAATTTCGAGCGAGTAACGCGATCGAGTAACGCTCGTTATATGATATTGTTCTTTAGAATTTTAGGCTCAAAACATTTGGTTTTACTATAAAGAAAATTAGTTTTTGATGTTTAATTTAGCGCTGAATTGTCAAAAAGAGTTTCTAAAATATTGCGCAAAAAATTGTCATTTTTAAATTTTTTGTTTGTTATTCAAATGTTGTCGATCATGCCTAACTCATCAATTTTCTGCGCAATCGTATATTTTTCTAATCACACCACGCACTAAAAACGGCTCTAGTTTGAAGAAACACGAAAAAAATTTCCTATTTTTTATGAATATGGTCGGAGCATTCTGGTTTACTTGCGCAGCAATCGGCTATCTTTGTAAGTGTTTCGGGAATGCTCGCAAATTCTGAAAAGTTGCCCATGTTTTCAAATTTGAACTGGGTAGACAAGTTTTTATTCTCTTTGAAATAAACTTTTTGTTTTACTTAGCAATAAAGTGAAAATAGAAACAAATGTCTTAAGAATTGGCTCTGTACCACTTTATTTCTAAACTATTCACAGGGACCAAATACAGACTGCTTAAAATTTTTTCTACCGTCTTCATATATTGAACTAAATGATTATCCAAATGATCTTTTTCACCAACTAAAAATACCCATTTTGTCAGTGTGATTTAAAAAACAATGCACTAATGGTGTAAAGGTCTAGAAGTTACAGTCTAACAGTGGGATTGATAGATTTGTATGAAAATAATAGCACTCTATATAAAATAAGAGCACTTTATTTGAACTCTCATGATGAAACCAAACCCTCTACCAATTTTTATCAGTGTGTTGCTTGTTTCGCTGTAAACATCGATCTTGTTCATTATGGCGTTACGCCATTGAATTAGCTCTGGTATTTAGTTTGTAATTTGAATGTCAAAATTTGTTGAACAGAAAATCTTCGTTGTTTTTGAAGCCCTCGGAAATTGAAACCCAATTTCTTATATTTACACTCATATATTAATTTTGCAGCAAAAAAGAAGCAGCTATCTAAGGCGAAAGCTATATAAGGCTAAAATAAAAATGTTAACTCGGGTTACATGTCTATGGGAGTGCAACCCTGTGGCCATCCATGGAGCAGGCCTGGCCAGGGAAAACCATGTCAAAGTCTTGCAGGGATTGATATGGACTTCCTGGAGCAGTGTAAGAGCCTAGGCCTGGGACTATTATGTTTATTTTTAGTTTTGCATTTAGTTTATTTTTAGATTTTTCAGATTTCCAAAATATTACGTGCCTGCCCGAAAATATCATCAACCAAAAAATATTCGCATATACGAAAACCCACAGGTTAACTGGCAAGAATCTCGCAGGTAAACTGCATTTATAGATTCACTACTGAAATTGAATTCTGAATTTTCACTGACTTAAGACAACAAAACAAAACTTTTTCTGTGTGGCTAGATAGCTTCTACCTCAAAACACAGTGTTTGAAAATTTTGAGATAATTTTCTGTCATACTTTTGGCTTATTTTACCAATTAAAGCAAACAAAAACTAGTTTTGGCTCCACCTACGACAGTACAGTCATTAATTACAACTTTGCATGCAATTTTTAATCAAATTAACATCCTCCCCTGTACAAAAAATGTATTAAGTGTATATTACAGCAGAAATCATATGTATTGGAATAGCGTTGCTATTGCCGTAATAGCAATGCACACGAAAAACTCGCACTCTTGATAGCCAAACAGTAACAAATGCAGTCGGTCCACTGTCTCGGGAGCTTGCCAACAGAGCGTAGGAGTCTCTTGAAAGTTACAGCTTGTCATGGCCGCTGAATACTTTAAACCGAGAACCGGCATAGGTGTTTCGACCTTGCCCTCTTGGGAATTAATAGCGTCACCAGCACCACTTCTATTTTAAAAATTTTCCCGGAATTGATCAATTTTTTCTTAAAATACGCAGCCCCCGAATATAATCACTTTAATTAATCCATGCTGACTAGCTCCTGACTAAATTAGATTATTTTTTACTGTTTTTGTTCAAAATGATTTTCAGACTTTTTGGTGTTCTATTTAAGTTAACCAATCAAAATCAAGCTGCGTGATGTAATTTTCACATTTTTTGTCACTGCTAGCAAATCGAACTGACGGGATTTAATACCATTACCAACATAACTCATTATCAAAATCAAAATTTTTCAAAAATTAATTTTTTTTTCATTTTATATTTAGAGCCCCAAATATAGTCGCTTCAATAAACCCGCGCTAATTTTTTACATTTATACTAAATAACTGCAAAGTTATTTGATTTTATTAGATGCGCAAAACATTTTTAAAAATCAGCATCTGATAGAGCAGTCAAACCAAAACAAAATTCCGAGGAAAAACTTCAATCCTTCAACTTGACTGCAGTTTTTGACTTAAAAATTGATTTCCGTTGCGATCAGCCAGAGTAATGTTACCGGGTACTTAATTTAATCCTCATTAGTAATTTTTGCTCTCACAGGGTTTTCAAATTAACTATTTGATGTTGCAGTGGCAATGCAGTTTTATTTGGTGTATATAGTGTTGGCGGGTGATTAATGGGCAAAGACAATGAATGAATAATGAATGAATAGTTTTTAGAATAATTTTTAGAAATGATTGAATAGTTTTATGTTGCCGGCTTTAAGGATTTCGTACCAAAATCTTTCGACTTACTTACCGAGTGTTTTATTTCAAATGCTTAATTGTTTTCTGTAAATTTCTATCCAATTTCGAGATGCGTAGATTTTGTTTTTTATTAAAAATTTTAGGGGGTGGGGTTGTCAGGGTTGATTTGCTTTCCTTGGGAAATCGACTAACTACCGCCCTTATTTCCCCCTTTGGTGTTATTTTACAACAAATTATCTTTAATCAACCCTGAAACTTTTTGTGTACAATTTCTGCCCCAATACGCTAAACTTCAAGTAGGTTGCTTGTCAAATAGAGCCTTAAATTGTCTAAAAACGGCTTTTCTGGCTCAGTTTTGCAAAAAAAAGATTGAGAGATTCTTGGCTCAAAGTTTAAAGCTCAGAAAATGTATTTGGTCGCTTTAAAAGCGGCCGACAACTTGTTTCCGGCTTTAAATACTTGCAAATTGAAATGCAAACTTTTGAACACTTTTCCTTCAAAATCCGCTGTTGATCTATGCAGTAGATTCTTAATTGGTGATTATTTTTGATAATAAAGTTTCATAACATTAAAAAATAAGAATTTGAAAACGTAAGCTGCTGCAACTGAATCTCGGTAAATAATTATCTTGAGGCACAGTCATAAATTACTGGTAATAAGATCATCCAATATGATGTTAATAAGATATTTTGCTTAACTTCAGATTTACTGGACATTGAAAACAAACCGAGAAGTGTTAGCATTGGACCACATGTGAAGGTGCAACTTCAAATGTCATTCGAGGACCCAATCACGGGCGAGTGGCTCACACCCCACGAGTACATTTCCATAGCAGTCGACGACACAATACGACTCAACTCATTCCCCAACGAGTGGAGTCTTAACACCTGATTTCGTAATATTTATGCAACATCCACCTCTATATCAAGAAGGACGAGTTGCGTCATCTACCAGAACTTAATAACTTTTTTGTTCCATATTTTCATATTATGCAACATCCACCTCAATATCAAGAAGGACGAGTTGCGTCATCTACCAGAACCTAGTCACTTTTTTGTTCCATATTTTCATATGTGCATATATGCTTTTAATTAAGTTATAATATTTGTTATTTAGGAGTGTTTAATATGAAACAAGAGTTTTTGTTAAAAATGGGAATTTTTAAAACGAGGTTTATTCAAATCAATCAATAAAAGTCATTAAAGGAAAAATTATGTCGAAAAAGAAATGTTTTTATTATGAGATACCGGATATCGTTTCATATTAAGCAAGCCTTTCTATGGTTGTTATCCGTTTAGATAAATTCAGTTTTATTATTTGAAAGTTGTTTAGAATATAATAAACGTGAAAAAAAATTAAAATTTTACTCCAAATTTTTTAAAAGAGCGTCCAGATTTTTGAGTTTCCAGGCCACGAATTTCGAGCAGCGTCGGATCTAAAAAATATTCTTGATTCGATAGAGATTTTTCTTTGGATCAACCCAATCACTTTTTCGAAGGTTTGCCCAAAAATCGCGTTTAATCAGCGCGTGCATTTCCTAAATATAAAAAATCCCAATGTTTATTTTCTACGGTAGGTCAGATTCTACGGTAGAACATTCTAGGCAGAACATTCTACGGTAGGTCAATTAGGCGAGAATCTACAGTTGATCTAAATGTAGAAATCGTCCTCAATTATTTTCAAAAATTTTAGCTTTCTTACAGATTCTATCATTTAAGGCGGGATAATTCAAGACCCAGTTTGACCAACAAAATCTTTGAGGGAGGAACTTGATTAAATGATGGTGGTTGTTTATAATTTAACGCAATTTTACGATAGGTAGCACATTTATTCACTAGCATAAAACTCGACAAGTATATATGATTTAAAAATGACAATCGTACCGACTAGCATCAAAATGGAAACAGAAAATTCAAACATTTTGAAAATTCAAATCATTTTGCGCATAAAAATAGATTAATAACACTTTTCACACATTTCACAATTCGCGCAGCAATCAGTGTTCAGTTGAAGCCATTGGGGTGAAAGTGATCACAATTTAGTTGTCAAGAACCTTCATTTGATATTGACTGCCTAAATTTTTATTTTTCTATTTTTCAGAAACCCACGTTTCAAGTCGAATGGATTATGAGTTTTGTCGTGTACTTCTGAAAAATTTGGCAATCAAATTATGCTAGCTGATATCTTTTCATAATTTCAACTTTTTATGCTATTCGAATTTTACGCTAGTCAATTGGTCACTGCGGCATATCTATGGAACTCGCTGCTGACTGAATTAGCCAATTATCTTTACTATAATCTTTAAAATTATAATTAAACTTTCTAGAGTGTCATTTAAATAAATCAATCAGACACAAGCTATGTGAAGTAATTTTTACAAAATCAAAAAGGTGAAACTTGGGCCTTGAAACTTTTTTTTTCACTTTTCACTACTAGCAAATTGGAGTGACTAAATCGAATATTTTATGAAAAAAATAATCAAACCAATTGATAAAAGCTCTTTTTTCCATTTTCAAAAACGACGCTTTTTCTGTTTTTTTTTCCAGACAAATTTGGTTTTTAAATAGATTTTTGACATCTTTTTGTACAATATGAAAATATACCAGAGAAATAAAGAAACACAAAAAAAAACAATTTTCAAACTCAAAATAAATTCCAATGAAACCATTGGATCATAAAATCGTTTTATTAATTGTGTCAAAACAAAATGTTAAAAGCGAAAATGGAGTTGAAAGCGGAGTTAAAAAAATTGAAGGAAACGGAGTTAAACCTTAAAGGAGTTTTTATCCGGCAGTTGTCACATGGTTGATTAGTGTTTGCGTGATATAGTCCCCAGCTTAACTGAGAGGAAATTTTTGAGTCCAGGTTTTTGTTTGATCTGTAGTTTAAGTGGAGTTTAAAAAAATGTTAAAAGCAAAAACATCTTATAGCGAAAAAATTTCATAGTTAAAGATAGCAATTTCTGGTCCCGAGGAGTGTTCCTTGCAAAAGTTATTGGGAAAAAAATTGGGCCGAAATTTAGACGAAATAAATCATCCAAAAAGCAAAATAACAGAAATATATAACAGTTACTTCGAATCGAAATTTAATCTCAACGAAATTTAATCTCAACCTGGAGACTGTTATGTCTCTGTCAAAACTGTAGAAACTAACACAAACTCAAATGATCTCTAATATCCTTTGGGCGTAATAATTCTGTATTATTGTGATTACTATTACTATAATAATAGTAATTATTATTATGATTATGATTATCATTCGGCTCTTTTTCCTCCCCCCACCTCACATAAGCATCAATGTTCTGGCGTAACGAGGGGTTTTACAAGGTTAGATCTGAAGAGACAAAATGTTTGTTACAGCCTAATAAGTCTGCATGCCAAATTTTGTATCAGTCGGTATAATGAACACTGATAAATTACTAGTTAAATTTCGCTGATGGGTGAAAAAGGAAGAAGAGCCAAGTATTCATGATAACGTCACCAAAAATCCAACAGGAGATAAGTGTAAAGACGTTGTAAAATTCAATTACCACCATCGAATGTGACTTCAACAAATTTACCGGAGAGCGTTGCCACGAAAATTTTCCATACGAGAAAGTGCCTGAATCTGTTTTTGAAAAAACTGTACAATATCTAAAAATCAGTGATTTTCAAACCTTTTAAACGCACGGCAAACAGAGAAACAAAAGATGGCCAAATCAATAATTATACCTACTAATACCTACTCAATAAAGGGTGGACCGAACTACAGAAATTTGTTTTTTTTTTTTAATTTTGCCAGCCAAACAGCATCTAATTAATGCGCATAATGAAGAGTTAGTATTTTTAAAAAATTCAAATTTGAATCATAAAAGAAAGCAAATAGGAACAACAACAACATCAATTGAACATCGCTCTTTCATTTCTGATAAATCGCTGACAACAAATTGAACTTTTCAGCGCGATGTCACCGATGAGACTTTGCGGATTTATCGCTGAAAAATTTACCAATGAGACAACACCAAATCAGCTATTACTTTCGATGTAAGTTCAACCATGATGATTATTTATGGTACTCTACTCTGAAAGCTTAACAAAATTAAAATGATCAAAATTAGAAGAAGCACTCCTGCCGTACAACTTTTTGTTCCATCAGAAAAGTAGTTCATTTTTGAGGCATTTTGTAAAAAACTAAAGCCTTCTACTCAAAATTTTCTTTTATCTATCACGTTTTTATTCATCCTTGTCCATTTGCGAGGGTGTCAACTTACACCAATGAAAACGTCCTGTTAGTTTTGGTTACAATAATGAACTGTAGTCAACTAAAAACAACCAACTTGGCATCACAACAAAATCTAGACCTTAGATCTCTGGCCGTCACTTGATCGAAGGCCGAACTTATTAAACAATTACAGGGTTAGAAAAGGTCAAGTTTGAAAAAGTTGATGCTTGCAAATTTATTCAGTTCACCAATTTATTGAATCATCCTAAAACAATTGGAACAACAGTTGACGACCGGTCACAGAAAATGAATACGAAGATATCATTTTTGATGAAAACTAGTTGCACTTATTTAACCTTACTCGCAAGTACTTATAATATGCTGGCATGTTCTCTACCGTTGGAGCCATCGCCTCTCAGAAAAGAAAATGAAAATTCTGACGACATCGGAACCAAATTATCCTCAGCTATCGTAAATGGACTTCCGACAATTGAGAGGAGATTTTTCGCCAAAATTACCTTCAAGAACTCAAATTTGCTCTTTTGTGGGGGCGCCATTATTCACAGCTACTGGGTCGTAACAGCAGCTCATTGCGTTTTTACACGGAGAGGTTAGCTTTCTTTTCAGCTCGTTGATTGAAACTCTCCAAGCTAGTTGCAAACTCTGATTCAAAAAATTATGGCGAAATGATTTCAGAGATTTTGGGAAGCCTCCAAAAACATTGCTAGATTTTTTCAAAAAAGGCCCAAATTTGTGATCTCCCCGGAATGATCATTGATTTAAATTGGTTGAGAGCTTAGAAAACATTTTCAAGCGTGAAAGCAAAATCTAATTATAACGATTTGAAATTGATCAAATCTATCAAATAATAAATTTTTGAAAGTACTATTTTTTACATAGAAAAATTATATCAATTAATTCTAAACTTTTTTTTATAATATAAGTGATTTTAGTCCACTTTATCTGTATTAATTCGCTTTCCAATTGATTTTTTTAGAACAATTCTTTCAAATGTTTATTGTTTTAATTGTTAAAAAAACTCAAGAAAAATTTAAAATGGAAATTTTTTTAAAAACTTACGATTGCAACTGTTTTTCAATCATCACATTATCATACACGTTTTCTTGATTTAAGAAAATGTTTTCAAGCCTTACGCAGATCAGGAGATCGTTTCTAGCTGCCCGTATTTAGTGAATGATCTGAAGTTTTTTTGGGTTATTTCAGATCTGGAAAAATATATTTCAGGTCTAATTTCAGATCTGAAATATTGTTTTTCATGGTTATTTCTTGTCTAAAAAAATCACTCATTCTGATAAAATTTTGTGCTATTTATGGTAGTTTCGTACTTACTAGCTCCGGCTAGCTACTAGCAGGTACTAGCAAAGTATTTAACCGGAAATAGCTGAAAATTGTTTCCACAACATGAGATAAACATCGGAAAGGCATAAGCAGCGCATGATATTCAAAAGTTTGGTATGTCTTCTAAAACTTTTTGAAAAGTTTTTAAAACAATCATTTGAGCCAAAAACTTAGTTTGAAAAAATGGTTTGTATAGAAAATCCAAAAAAATCAGATCTTGTATAGAAAATCCACTAGGTGCGCCGATGCAGAGTTTAAAGTAAAAATATTGCTCCGGCAATTTTCATACAAGTCGAGTTTTTTTTGATTTTTTAGCCGATCAAATCATAGTGGTGGCTGGCAGTTTTGCGCATCCAGATGGCAGAAGAAGATCCTATCAAGTGGAGGAAGTTTTTGTTCACGACTAGTAAGGCATATTTTTGTGAAATGTTTTCATTGTTGACTTCGTATATTATGATTTTCTATCGATTCATACTGATATATGGTCAAGATAATACGTTAAGCTGAATTAGAACGTGTTGTCCGTTTTTTTGGTTGGTCCAATTCATTTTCGTTGTAGATAGACACTTGGTAGACCCTATTTTTTTTCGTTTTAACTTACCACGTAGATTTAACTAACCAGTTTTTTCCGAATATAATTTTATCTTCTTTTTGCACTA